GCCCCGTCTAAGACACGATCTGACTTTAATTACATTTGACTCGAGTGTTTCGTCAACTTAATGTGTTGCTTAAAATAATACTTCTGCATCCAGTATGTGACACTGTGAGTGTTGCACGGCCAGATACGGCTCAGCTGACTCAGATAAGGAGATATATGATACATTATGATGTGATATGATATGAATGATAATGGGACACATCGCCGTCTGCACTCACAGTGCCGCGGACTGTACGTAATGTTACTCTGATCCGGTTACTTATGTTGTGGCAGATATTTAAGTAAGCTTTCTTAACGCTAATGTTATAATAATAGTATAATAGTTATAGGCTAATAGTCAGATTGCTCTGAAGATGGGAGGTGATATTCTATTCATTTTCACGTTCACACAGTCGGTGATTTTGGCCGGCCGTCTTTCCGGCAACGGCAGTTTAAACTGTATTTCCTCTGCACACTGAGCTCAGCAGGCGGTGCTTTCACTGAGTTGATCTCTTATCCTGGAACCTATCCTGCTCCGGAGCAGTCTAGCCGCTCAGCATAAGTTATCTAGCCCGCTAAAAAGAGACCCAGCGTCGTAGGACCGGAAACCCAGAGTTTTCCCTGAAGTTAGCTAAGAGAACATCCGGCTTCGTAGTACAGGCCTCTGATGTCCCTGAAGGCAGCAGCAGACAGGTGAGCCTGCAGGTAGAGAGCCGGTTATTAAAAGATTCAAATAAAATAAATAATGGTTAATCATTTAAACCGGAAATTCAACTGATGGAAATGTCTGAGGTTTTATTTCTATTTTTTACAGTGTAGAATTGTCTTTATTATTAATTTTTTACTGTGTAGAGTATTATTTATTTTTTACAGCGTAGTGTTTTATTTATTTTTTACAGTGTAGAGTCTTATTTATTATTCATTTTTACAGTGTAGAGTATTTGTTTTTACACTGGAGTATTATAATTTTTTACAGCGTAGTACTTATTTTACAGTGTAGTGTGGTATTTATTTTTTACAGTGTACTGTACAGTATTAGTTATAATTAATTTTTTACAGTGTAGTGTGTTTACTTGGTGTAACAGGAACCACTCAGCTGTCCCGAATGTGTGACGTCACTCTCTCTGTAAATTTGACCGTGAAAATAGAGAGGCGAAGTCCCGCCCATCTACTTCCGACCCATGGGACCTTATTTAGGAAAGATGATGTATTGAAGTCAATGGGGAGAGAAAGATTATCTTTCGATGCCGTTTGAATTGTGCCACGAATTACACATATGATGTTTGTCAATCATTTCCAGGTCAAAAAGGTCAGTTTGTCGTAAAACTGTTGAAATATAAGACTATGAAAAATACGCAACTAGAAAGACTACAAATCCCAGAGTCCCGGTCCCGCATGCTGGCTCTTAGGAACAGACTAACTCCTCTTGTGTGTATGCACAGCTCTCATTAGGAACAGACTAACTCCTCTTGTGTGTATGTACAGCTCTCATTAGGAACAGACTAACTCCTCTTGTGTGTATGTACAGCTCTCATTAGGAACAGAAACTCCTTGTGTGTATGCACAGCTCTCATTAGGAACAGACTAACTCCTCTTGTGTGTATGTACAGCTCTCATTAGGAACAGACTAACTCCTCTTGTGTGTATGCACAGCTCTCAACATTAGGAACAGACTAACTCCTCTTGTGTGTATGCACAGCTTCTCATTAGGAACAGACTAACTCCTCTTGTGTGTATGTACAGCTCTCATTAGGAACAGACTAACTCTCTTGTGTGTATGTACAGCTCTCATTAGGAACAGACTAACTCCTCTTGTGTGTACAGCTCTCATTAGGAACAGACTAACTCCTCTTGTGTGTATGTACAGCTCTCATTAGGAACAGACTAACTCCTCTTGTGTGTATGCACAGCTCTCATTAGGAACAGACTAACTCCTCTTGTGTGTATGTACAGCTCTCAACATTAGGAACAGACTAACTCCTCTTGTGTGTATGCACAGCTCTCATTAGGAACAGACTAACTCCTCTTGTGTGTATACAGCTCTCATTAGGAACAGACTAACTCCTCTTGTGTGTATGTACAGCTCTCAACATTAGGAACAGACTAACTCCTCTTGTGTGTATGCACAGCTCTCATTAGGAACAGACTAACTCCTCTTGTGTGTATGTACAGCTCTCATTAGGAACAGACTAACTCCTCTTGTGTGTATGCACAGCTCTCATTAGGAACAGACTAACTCCTCTTGTGTGTATGTACAGCTCTCATTAGGAACAGACTAACTCCTCTTGTGTGTATGCACAGCTCTCATTAGGAACAGACTAACTCCTCTTGTGTGTATGCACAGCTCTCATTAGGAACAGACTAACTCCTCTTGTGTGTATGTACAGCTCTCATTAGGAACGACTAACTCCTCTTGTGTGTATGTACAGCTCTCATTAGGAACAGACTAACTCCTCTTGTGTGTATGTACAGCTCTCATTAGGAACAGACTAACTCCTCTGTGTGTGTATACAGCTCTCATTAGGAACAGACTAACTCCTCTTGTGTGTATGTACAGCTCTCAACATTAGGAACAGACTAACTCCCTTGTGTGTATGTACAGCTCTCAACATTAGGAACAGACTAACTCCCTTGTGTGTATGTACAGCTCTCATTAGGAACAGACTAACTCCTCTTGTGTGTATGTACAGCTCTCATTAGGAACAGACTAACTCCTCTTGTGTGTATGTACACAGCTCTCCATTAGGAACAGACTAACTCCTCTTGTGTGTATGTGCACAGCTCTCAACATTAGGAACAGACTAACTCCTCTTGTGTGTATGTACAGCTCTCATTAGGAACAGACTAACTCCCTTGTGTGTATGTACAGCTCTCATTAGGAACAGACTAACTCCTCTTGTGTGTATGTACAGCTCTCATTAGGAACAGACTAACTCCCTTGTGTGTATGTACAGCTCTCATTAGGAACAGACTAACTCCCTTGTGTGTATGTACAGCTCTCATTAGGAACAGACTAACTCCCTTGTGTGTATGTACAGCTCTCATTAGGAACAGACTAACTCCTCTTGTGTATGTACAGCTCTCATTAGGAACAGACTAACTCCTCTTGTGTGTATGTACAGCTCTCATTAGGAACAGACTAATCCTCTCCTGTGTGTATGTACAGCTCTCATTAGGAACAGACTAACTCCTCTTGTGTGTATGTACAGCTCTCATTAGGAACAGACTAACTCCTCTTGTGTGTATGTACAGCTCTCAACATTAGGAACAGACTAACTCCTCTTGTGTATGTACAGTGTACAGCTCTCATTAGGAACAGACTAACTCCTCTTGTGTATGTACAGCTCTCAACATTAGGAAAGACTAACTCTCTGTTGTATGTACAGCTCTCAACATTAGGAACAGACTAACTCCTCTGTGTGTATGTACAGCTCTCATTAGGAACAACTAACTCCTCTTGTGTGATGTACAGCTCTCATTAGGAACAGACTAACTCCTCTTGTGTGTATGTACAGCTCTCTTATTGGAGGACAGACTAACTCCTCTTGTGTGTATTCAGCTTCCTCATTAGGAACAACTAACTCCTCTTGTGTGTATGTACAGCTCTCATTAGGAACAGACTAACTCCTCTTGTGTGTACAGCTCTCATTAGGAACAGACTAACTCCTCTTGTTCTGTATGCACAGCTCTCATTAGGAACAGACTAACTCCCCTTGTGTGTATGTACAAGCTCTCACATTAGGCAGAAACTCCTCCTTTGTGTGTATGTACAGCTCTCAACATTAGGAACAGACTAACTCCCCTTGTGTGTCTGTACAGCTCTCATTAGGAACATAACTCTCCTCTGTGTGTATGTACCAGCTCTCATTAGGAACAACTAACTCCTCTTGTGTTGTTGCAGCTCTCATTAGGAACAGACTAACTCCTCTTGTGTGTATGCACAGCTCTCATTAGGAACAGACTACTCCTCTTGTGTGTGATGTCAAGCTCTCATTAGGAACAGACTAACTCCTCTTGTGTGTATGTACAGCTCTCATTAGGAACAGAAGACTAACTCCTCTTGTGTGTATGAACAGCTCTCAACATTAGGAACAGAAACTCCTCTTGTGTGTATGCACAGCTCTCATTAGGAACAGACTAACTCCTCTGTGTGTATGTACACTCTCATTAGGAACAGACTAACTCCTCTTGTGTGTATGCCAGCTCTCATTAGGAACAGACTAACTCCTCTTGTGTGTATGTACAGCTCTCACATTAGGAACAGACTAACTCCTCTTGTGTTATGCCAGCTCTCCATTAGGAACAGACTAAACTCTCTTGTGTGTATGCACAGCTCTCATTAGGAAAGACTAACTCCTCTTGTGTGTATGCACAGCTCTCATTAGGAACAGACTAACTCCTCTGTGTGTATGTACAGCTCTCATTAGGAACAGACTAACTCCCCTTGTGTGTAGTACAGCTCTCAACATTAGGAACAGACTAACTCCTCTTGTGTGTAGTACAGCTCTCATTAGGAACAGACTAACTCCTCTTGTGTGTATGTACAGCTCTCATTAGGAACAGACTAACTCCTCTTGTGTGTATGCACAGCTCTCATTAGGAACAGACTAACTCCTCTTGTGTATGTACAGCTCTCATAGGAACAGACTAACTCCTCTTGTGTGTATTACAGCTCTCATTAGGAACAGACTAACTCTCTTGTGTGTGTACAGCTCTCATTAGGAACAATACTAACTCCTCTTGTGTGTATGTACAGCTCTCATTAGGAACAGACTAACTCCTCTTGTGTATGTACAAGCTCTCATTAGGAACAGGACTAACTCCCCTTGTTGTATGCACGCTCTCAACATTAGGAACAGACTAACTCCTCTTGTGTGATGCACGCTCTCAACATTAGGAACAGACTAACTCCTCTTGTGTGTATGCACAGCTCTCAACATAGGAACAGACTAACTCCTCTTGTGTGTATGCACAGCCTCTCAACATTAGGAACAGACTAACTCCCCTTGTGTGTATGTACAGCTCTCATTAGGAACAGACTAACTCCTCTTGTGTGTATGTACAGCTCTCATTAGGAACAGACTACTCCTCTTGTGTGTACTGCCCTCTCACATTAGGAACAGACTAACTCCTCTTGTGGTATGTACAGCTCTCATTAGGAACAGACTAACTCCTCTTGTGGTATGTACAGCTCTCATTAGGAACAGACTAACTCCTCTTGTGTGTATGCACAGCTCTCAACATTAGGAACAGACTAACTCCTCTTGTTGTTGTGCAGCTCTCATTAGGAACAGACTAACTCCCCTTGTGTGTATGCACAGCTCTCATTAGGAACAGACTAACTCCCCTTGTGTGTATGTACCAGCTCTCATTAGGAACAGACTAACTCCCCTTGTGTGTATGCAGCTCTCATTAGGAACAGACTAACTCCCTTGTGTGTATGTACAGCTCTCATTAGGAAGACTAACTCCTCTTGTGTGTATGCACAGCTCTCAACATTAGGAACAGACTAACTCCTCTTGTGTTATATGTACATCGCATTAGGAAACAGACTAACTCCCCTTGTGTGTATGCACAGCTCTCATTAGGAACAAGACTAACTCCCTTGTTGTATGTACAGCTCTCATTAGGAACAGACTAACTCCTCTTGTGTGTATGCACAGCTCTCATTAGGAACAGACTAACCCTCTTGTGTGTATGTACAGCTCTCATTAGGAACAGACTAACGCCTCTTGTGTGTATGTACAAGCTCTCAACATTAGGAACAGACTAACTCCTCTTGTGTGTATGTACACGGCTCTCATTAGGAACAGACTAACTCCTCTTGTGTGTATGTACAGCTCTCAACATTAGGAACAGACTAACTCCTCTTGTGTGTATGTACAGCTCTCATTAGGAACAGACTAACTCCCCTTGTGTGTATGCACAGCTCTCATTAGGAACAGACTAACTCCCCTTGTGTGTATGTACAGCTCTCATTAGGAACAGACTAACTCCTCTTGTGTGTATGCACAGCTCTCATTAGGAACAGACTAACTCCTCTTGTGTGTATGTACAGCTCTCATTAGGAACAGACTAACTCCTCTTGTGTATGTACAGCTCTCAACATTAGGAACAGACTAACTCCTCTTGTGTGTATGTACAGCTCTCATTAGGAACAGACTAACTCCTCTTGTGTGTATGTACAGCTCTCAACATTAGGAACAGACTAAGTCCTCTTGTGTGTATGTACAGCTCTCATTAGGAACAGACTAAGTCCTCTTGTGTGTATGTACAGCTCTCATTAGGAACAGACTAACTCCCCTTGTGTGTATGTACAGCTCTCATTAGGAACAGACTAACTCCTCTTGTGTGTATGCACAGCTCTCAACATTAGGAACAGACTAACTCCTCTTGTGTGTATGTACAGCTCTCAACATGCCCAGACTTGGAGTGATTTTCACCTCTTTGAATACTTTCCGCCTCATTCTGAAAGAAAGAGGTGAGATGTTCCAACGTGACGGCCGTCTTGGTGTGTGGTGCGAGACGGGAGATGGAGGTCATTGAGCGGTTTCACACAAAAAAAAGTGTTACTTCACATTTACATTTTTTTGACTTGCAAAATAATCTTTTAAATTGTCAAACATCATATGTGTAATTCATGACTCAATTCAAACGGGATCCAAAGATAATCTTTCTCTCTCCATTGACTTCAATGCATACTTTTCCAAAATAAGGTCCCATGGAGGACCCCCGGAAAGGGAGGGACCTCGCCTCTCTATACTGGAACCTGGCTAAAGAACTTTCCAAATAAAAGCACACATGAATTCAATAACGGATTTATTTGATTTCTCAGCTGTTTAAAACAATAGCTGTAATCGTAAAGAAGCAGTTCTTAAATCATTAGTTTGTTCATTAGAATAAAGTATTTCATCTTAATTAGCTCTTCTATAGCTGTTGAAACTAAATAATAATATACACATTTTTTCTGTTTGAGTTTTGAAAACAACACGAATTATAATAACCATAAATAAAATATAACAACAAACTACAAAGATGGAGTCTCACTCGGACAGGAAATGGAGCAGCTGGACTTCCTGCTGTGTTTGAAACCCTTTCACAATAAAGTTTTATTTGAGGCTCAGGAGCAAAATATTTAGACACAAAATATAATGATTTATAACTTTTTATTATTATGAAACGTTCTCTGATTCATTTCATTATTTAGATAAAAGAGTGACGGCCCCTCGCTCTCAGGTGAGGAGGAAGAGTGAAGTGACATCACTTCCTGTCCTCGGCAACGAGCAGCACGGCGGCGGCGCTTTCTGTAGCTTCCGTTAGCATCGCCGCGGCGCGCCTCTCCGTCTGGAGAGAGTTTCAATCAACTTTATTTAAACAGATCATTTTAATGACCCGTATTTAAACAGGTCTATTGAATGACCTGTATTTAAAGAGTGGGGGGGCACTCACGGCGCTCTTGAAGTCCGGGTCGCTGACGTCTCGCAGGTTGATCATCACGTTGTAATACGCTCCAAACACCGCCGTCTCTAAGGCCTTCGCTGCCACCTGCACATTTCACAATAAAGCTTTAATTAATTTATATCAACTTCAGATGAAATGTTTTACTTTGAAATAAAGTATTCCTTTGGAATCTGCTGGCCTTGAAAACACTCATTATCTGATAGCTATAGTTTCCTGTGGAGAGTTGGGTCATCATCGATGTTTTCTCACCTGAGCGTCGGACTTGCAGGCGATGTTTCCGTGGACGACCATTTCCTTCAGAGGAGCCCAGAGCAAGTTGATCCTGTCAGCCAGCGCTAAGGGCACGCTGAGCGCCTGCCGCAGGCCGTCCTGAAGAGAGGCGTCCCTCCTATATATAACATATATAACATTATATATAACATATATCATCATATATAACAGCTTGATCCTGTCAGCCAGCGCTAAGGGCACGCTGAGCGCCTGCCTCCTACAGGTTATATATAACATTATATATAACATAGATTATATATAATATATATAACAGGTTATAAAGTACAGAGTATAGATTATATATAATATATATAACAGGTTATAAAGTACAGAGTATAGATATATATAATATATATAACAGGTTATAAAGTACAGAGTATAGATTATATATAATATATATAACAGGTTATAAAGTACAGAGTATAGATTATATATAATATATATAACAGGTTATAAAGTACAGAGTATAGATTATATATAATATAACAGGGTTTTTCTAAACTGTCTATTGATGTTAAAAGCTGTAAATATAAAAAACGTCACTTTTGTTTTTCCTCTTCGGAGTTCTTCGGCATCTTCAGCGCCGCCTGGTGGACACAGAATATACAGGAAGTCGTACAGTTAACAGTTAAGTCGTACAAATAATATTGTAATATTTAATACAATAATATCGTAGAGTTGCGATGTTTCTCACCATGTAGCTGCTGAAGGCATGTTATTAGTATAATAAAAACATCGTAGAGTTACGATGTTTCTCACCATGTAGCTGCTGAAGGCGTGTTATTAGTATAATAAAAACATCGTAGGGTTGCCATGTTTCTCACCATGTAGCTGCTGAAGGCATGTTATTAGTATAATAAAAACATCGTAGAGTTACGATGTTTCTCACCATGTAGCTGCTGAAGGCCGAGGCGTCACGGTCGACCATCGTTAGCAGCTCGGCGGCGGCGCTATGAAATGGGGGAATGAGTTGCCGCATGACGCCGTCCAGACTCTCGAACTGACGCTTCCCGTACGACATCTGACCCATCATGCAGGCCAGCGCCGCCCCCTGAGGCCGGGGGGGGAACCACACTCTGAGTACTTATATACTACACTCTGAGCATTCATGTATTTATATACTACACTCTGAGCATTCATGTATTTATATACTACACTCTGAGCATTCATGTATTTATATACTACACTCTGAGCATTCATGTATTTATATACTACACTCTGAGCATTCATGTATTTATATACTACACTCTGAGCATTCATGTATTTATTTATATATATATATATGTATGTATAAGTTACCATGGCAGCGATGGCAGCGGATACTGACCCCCCCCCAGGAGCCGGAGTTCTGGAGGCGACGCTCTGAACGAAGTTCCTCAGAGAGAGAGAGACCAGAGGGCTGTCCCCCCCCCCCACCATGTACCTGCACAGGTAAACACATCAGGTCCACTCTGTATACTGTATAATATACGTATAATATACTGTACTGTGTACAAATACTCACTCTATGATTCTCTCCTTGGGGTTGAAAGGAGCGAGAGAGTCCAGGCCGAGTTTACTGATCACCTGACACACAAATATAATATAACATAAATATTAATAAATAAATAAATACGATTAATATGAATAAAATAATATAAAGTAATATAAAGTAATATAGTGATAACGACTGACCAGGCGGACTTTGTGCTCCTCCTCCACGATGAAGAGTCCGTCTCTGTTGATGAAGAAGTCAGCGGCGGCCATTATGGCTCTGAGGGGGACCAGCCCCACCAGCTGGGAGCCCACCACCGGCAGCTTCAGCTCCTGCAGACCCACATTCATATCTTTATATAAATATATATATATATTAGGGCTGTCAAGTTAACTCGTTAATAACGCGTTAACGCAAAAAAAAATTAACGCCACTAATTATTTTAACGCGATTAACGCATCTGTATTTTTTGTCCTCGGCCGCCCCGTAGTTTCAGAGCGCATCGAGTTTAAAACACCATCTACAAGCTGATGCTGACAGCCCCGCTCCTGCCGCCCGCTTGTGGCAGACCACACTTCCACGCTCACCGGCAGGCCCGGACTGGCCATCGGGAGGACCGGGAGGGTGTGTGTATGTGTGGCGCGAGCGAAGCACACCTTACGTGTTGTTGTTAGCATCTGGTGCTAGCTAGCTGAGCTAACGGATATAAGGAGCTGTTTCAATGAAAACAGAGGAGCGACATTTCGCCGACAACTGCGCCGAGCACTTGACTTGATGCAGGTAGCCAGACAGCACACTCAGCACGGATAGTGCCGCAGCACAGCTCATACACACAGGCATATATGCCTTGAGCTGCACATAGCTCCAACGATCCTCCACATTCACATTCACACACACACACACACACACACACACACACACACACACACACACACACACACACACACACACACACACACACACACACACACACACACACACACACACACACACACACACACACACACACACACACACACACACACAGACACACACACACCACACACACACACAGTATGAGAGAGGTTCCAGGTTGAATTGAGGCGAATATTTGTAATGTTCAGGTTGTTTGTGTTTAATATTCATGAGAATATTTGTCATTGTTCAAATGATAATAAACAACATAATAAAGCATAGTTGTCCACTCATATGTTGATAAGATTATTAAAAACTTGAAAAATATCCCCTCTAAGGTACATTTAGAACAGATAAAAAATGTGCGATTAATTTGCGATTAATCGCGATTAACTATTTTAATCGACTGACAGCCCTAATATATATATATATATATATATACAGTGACAGAGCCCCTCTCACCTGGGCCTCCCTGCAGACCTCCAGGTAGATGTATATGTATATATGTATATATGTGTACACACAGTGACTCACCTGGGCCTCCCTGCAGACCTCCAGGTAGATGTATATGTGTATATGTATATATGTGTATACACAGTGACTCACCTGGGCCTCCCTGCAGACCTCCAGGTAGATATATATGTATATATGTATATATGTGTATACACAGTGACTCACCTGGGCCTCCCTGCAGACCTCCAGGTAGATGTATATGTGTATATGTATATATGTGTATACACAGTGACTCACCTGGGCCTCCCTGCAGACCTCCAGGTAGATATATATGTATATATGTATATATGTGTACACACAGTGACTCACCTGGGCCTCCCTGCAGACCTCCAGGTAGATATATATGTATATATGTATATATGTGTATACACAGTGACTCACCTGGGCCTCCCTGCAGACCTCCAGGTAGATATATATGTATATATGTATATATGTGTATACACAGTGACTCACCTGGGCCTCCCTGCAGACCTCCAGGTAGATATATATGTATATATGTATATATGTGTACACACAGTGACTCACCTGGGCCTCCCTGCAGACCTCCAGGTAGATGTATATGTGTATATGTATATATGTGTATACACAGTGACTCACCTGGGCCTCCCTGCAGACCTCCAGGTAGATGTATATGTATATATGTATATATGTATACACACAGTGACTCACCTGGGCCTCCCTGCAGACCTCCAGGTAGATATATATGTGTACACACAGTGACTCACCTGGGCCTCCCTGCAGACCTCCAGGTAGATATATATGTATATATGTATATATGTGTACACACAGTGACTCACCTGGGCCTCCCTGCAGACCTCCAGGTAGATATATATGTATATATGTATATATGTGTACACACAGTGACTCACCTGGGCCTCCCTGCAGACCTCCAGGTAGATATATATGTATATATGTATATATGTGTATACACAGTGACTCACCTGGGCCTCCCTGCAGACCTCCAGGTAGATGTATATGTATATATGTATATATGTGTATACACAGTGACTCACCTGGGCCTCCCTGCAGACCTCCAGGTAGATATATATGTATATATGTGTACACACAGTGACTCACCTGGGCCTCCCTGCAGACCTCCAGGTAGATGTATATGTATATATGTATATATGTGTACACACAGTGACTCACCTGGGCCTCCCTGCAGACCTCCAGGTAGATGTATATGTATATATGTATATATGTGTATACACAGTGACTCACCTGGGCCTCCCTGCAGACCTCCAGGTAGATGTATATGTGTATATGTATATATGTGTATACACAGTGACTCACCTGGGCCTCCGTGCAGACCTCCAGGTAGATATATATGTATATATGTATATATGTGTACACACCGTGACTCACCTGGGCCTCCCTGCAGACCTCCAGGTAGATGTATATGTGTATATGTATATATGTGTATACACAGTGACTCACCTGGGCCTCCCTGCAGACCTCCAGGTAGATATATATGTATAGATGTGTACCACAGTGACTCACCTGGGCCTCCCTGCAGACCTCCAGGTAGATGTATATGTTATATGTATATATGTGTATACACATGACTCACCTGGGCCTCCCTGCAGACCTCCAGGTAGATGTATATGTATATATGTGTACACACAGTGACTCACCTGGGCCTCCCCTGCAGACCTCCAGGTAGATGTATATGTATATATGTATATATGTGTATACACAGTGACTCACCTGGGCCTCCCTGCAGACCTCCAGGTAGATGTATATGTGTATATGTATATATGTGTATACACAGTGACTCACCTGGGCCTCCCTGCAGACCTCCAGGTAGATATATATGTATATATGTGTACACACAGTGACTCACCTGGGCCTCCCTGCAGACCTCCAGGTAGATGTATATGTATATATGTATATATGTGTACACACAGTGACTCACCTGGGCCTCCCTGCAGACCTCCAGGTAGATGTATATGTGTATATGTATATATGTGTATACACAGTGACTCACCTGGGCCTCCCTGCAGACCTCCAGGTAGATATATATGTATATATGTGTACACACAGTGACTCACCTGGGCCTCCCTGCAGACCTCCAGGTAGATATATATGTATATATGTATATATGTGTATACACAGTGACTCACCTGGGCCTCCCTGCAGACCTCCAGGTAGATATATATGTATATATGTATATATGTGTACACACAGTGACTCACCTGGGCCTCCCTGCAGACCTCCAGGTAGACCGTGTGCAGCGCCGTCCTCTCAAAGTCCAGCAGGTTGGTGCTCACCTGAGCCAGATTCTGCTCCTCCAGGAACCATCCGAGAGCCTGGAGGTGCTGCAGGAGACCCGGCTGGAGATTATAGATTATAGATTATAGATTATAGATTATAGATAACAGGTTATATATTATATAACAGTGTTAATTTAAGAGACCATCAGAGTAGGAGATAAAACTACTAAAGAGAACTCAGACTCCCAGCATGCACCTGGTCCTTGGGGAGGGGGGCGTTAACTTAAGAGACCATCACAGTTACTAAAGAGGACTCAGACTCCCAGCATGCACCTGGTCCTTGGGGAGGGGGGCGTTAACTTAAGAGACCATCACAGTTACTAAAGAGGACTCAGACTCCCAGCATGCACCTGGTCCTTGGGGAGGGGGGCGTTAACTTAAGAGACCATCACAGTTACTAAAGAGGACTCAGACTCCCAGCATGCACCTGGTCCTTGGGGAGGGGGGCGTTAACTTAAGAGACCATCACAGTTACTAAAGAGGACTCAGACTCCCAGCATGCACCTGGTCCTTGGGGAGGGGGGCGTTAACTTAAGAGACCATCACAGTTACTAAAGAGGACTCAGACTCCCAGCATGTGTAGCAGGCCCCACTATGCAGGGCGCGATGACAGATTATGTTCCTGTAGAACAGGAGAAATTATGAGCAGAGAATGCCTTTTGCTGCTCGTTTGGCGGGTCTTGCCAGAATTTATTCACAATTGGCACAAAACAAAACACAATTGTTCTTGCCCTTTTCCTACTCTCAATATAAACACATGTTTATATGTTCATGTCTTCAAAATATACTTTTAACATGCTTGAAGTATTCAAAATAAACACATTTGTCTATAACCAAATGTCATTAACTTCATGACTAAAAATAAGAATGTACTGTTAAGTACCTTTTCAGGATAACTATTAGCATTAGTCTAAAATGTGCTAGCATTAGCATCTAACAAGCATTTACAATAATTAAAGAACGACTGCACATAGGCTATCGATAATACAGAACACACAGACATTTTACGGCAGACGCGTAAATAATAACCAACCCCTTTGCGGCAGTGATACCCTGCCATCTACTGCCCCCTGTTGTCCATTGTTAAACAGGTCATATAAAATCATATTAAATATAAACATACAATTGTGATTACACTTTGTGTGGGTCACACACTCCCCGACAAAGAAAAATGGCTCCCGACATTAACCATCAACCTCTTAACTTGTGCCCCTTCTCTTTGAACTTAAAACACTTATACACACTCTCACAAGGGCACTTCTTTAAATGTACAGGTGAATAAAATATGTATGAGAGTGGGTGTAACAATCTTTCCTTCTCAATATGCATGTATGTATGGCAGCATTACAGTGTAAGGCAGTGTCTGGTGTGTAGTGTAAGGCAGTGTCTGGTGTGTAGTGTAATGTGGCATAGGAAGGGGCTGCATTCCCCAGAATGGCAGGGCTTGTACAGTATATAGTCCCACTGGGTCTGTAGGCCCACATGATCTGGAGGATGGCTGACCAAGGGAGTCATATGTCAGCGTTTGAGGAGGTCTCCTGTCCCGTGTGGATTTCCTCACTGGCTCATCCTGAGGTGTCACAGGTCGGTCATAGCCATAGGGTACTTGTACATCCTCATGCTCTTCCGGTGCTTCAGAATCCACAGGCAGGTCTTCCTCATCAGTCCGTTCTTCTGGTGGTTCTTGTCTGGTTTCTCTCTCAGGTGTAACAACTCGATGTTGTTCTGGTGTATGATATCTCAATGGCACTCTATATCTATGTGGTTCAGGTACCCTTTTCAGACCGTCTGTGTTTTGCTGAGATCCAGAGCTAGGTTCAACATTCTGTGAGTGAAGTCCAGCTTGTGGGGGTACTCTTAGCCAGTATCGTACTCTAGGTCAGAGTTTTCTGAGTCACTGCTTTGTGATGTCTCTCTCTGTCGTTGTTTCTCAACATGATGACTCTTGCTCTTCCCTCTAGGTGGTAGCAGATTTCCTGTTGGTTCAGGCAAGTTTACAGGTAGGTCATTGACAACGTGTAGGAGATTTCGATGGAGGGTACGGATCTTATGACCACCTGTCTCAGAGCACACTTTGTACACAGGAATGTCACCAACTTGTTCGTTGACGACATACACAGTTTGTTCCCAGTAGGACCTCAATTTTCCAGGTCCACCTCTCTCACTCATGTTGCGGACTAGGACTCTATCACCCGGTTGGAGCACAACTCCCTTGATGTGACAGTCGTAGTACTTCTTGTTTCTTGCACTGGAGTGTTGACTGTTTTCAGATGCAATCCGGTAAGCCTCTTTCATTCTCAGAGCTCATTTCTTAGCATAGCCCTGTGTTGTTTCAGTCTGACCTTTGGCTGACAGACCAAACATTAAATCTACTGGGAGACACGGGTGCCGTCCAAACATGAGGTAGTGGGGTGAGAAGCCTGTTGCCTCATGCCTGGTGCAGTTGTATGCATGCACAACCAGGGGTAAGTGGTCTTTCCAGTTGCTCTTTTCTGTTTCTCCCAGGGTCCTCAACATTTGGAGCAGTGTTCTATTGAACCTCTCAGCTGGGTTTCCTTGGGGGTGGTATGGGGTTGTCCTCGAATGAGCAACTCCAGCCAGATGCCTCAGGGTCTTGAACAGGTCATTTTCGAACTCTCTGCCTTGGTCGTGGTGCAACCTGGCCGGGTAGCCGAATCTTGGAATGAAGTCATTATAGATTTTTTCAGCAGCTGTTCTGCCAGATTTATTTTTTGTTGCGTAGACTTGAGCAAATCTGGTAAAATGGTCAATAACTACTAAAATGTACTCGTAGCCCCCTTTGCTAGTTTCCAGGTACATATAGTCTATAGACACAAGCTCAAGTGGTGCAGATGAAGTGATGCTGCCCATTGGTGCTCTGACGTGTGTCACAGGTTTCTTTTGTTTGATACAGGGGCACTTTCTGGTTACATAGGTTTCAATGTCCTTTTTCATGAAAGGCCAGTAGAAACGGTCTCGAGCCAGGTGGATGACCCTCTCAGCCCCAACATGTCCCATGTCGTCATGGAGATGCTTTAGTACCAGGGGGTGGTATCGTGATGGTAAGACGAGCTGCTGCCGCTGACTGGCTGTCCGGTACAACAGTTGATTTTCCATGTGCAGTTTTCCCCACTTGTGCATGAGCTTTCTGAGCGTACCACTGGCTCTCTTCCTGTCCTCATTGGTCAATACTGCCTTTGCCTCTTTAAGTTTGATAAGCTCACCGATTGCATGGTCCTCCCTTTGGGCATTGACTAGCTCACTGTGGTCAATGGTAAGGGGTGACACATTCACAGGTGACTCTGAGCATGAAGCTAGGTCCAATGCAGCAACATAAGCAACATCCTGCCTCTTTGCAGACTCACAGCCATCCCATGTGGTTTGGATGGTTTCTCTTGTGAGTTCTTCAGTACACTCTCTGACGTAGGTGTCAATGTCAAGAGGGAGACGAGAGAGCGTGTCTGCGTCTATGTTCACTCTTCCTGGCCTGTATTTGACATCAAACCTAAAGTCTGCTAGCTCACCTACCCATCGGTGGCCCACAGCATTCAGCTTGGCAGTACTCATCATGTATGTGAGGGGATTATTGTCTGTGTATACTGTGAAATGGGGTGCATAGAACAGGTAATCCCTAAATTTCACACATATCGTCCCACTTAAGAGCAAGAAACTCGAGTTTCCCTGAGTGCATGTTGTAATTCTTCTCAGCGGGAGACAGAGTTCTTGAACCATAGGCCATTGACTCTCAATTGTCCATCCTGTCGTTGATACAACACAGCGCCGAGTCCCTGCTGAGAGGCGTCAGTGTGAAGCACAAATGGCAGTTCGAAATCCGGATAGGCCAACACAGGTGGGTGTGAAAGTGTGTCAATCAGCTGTTCAAGGATCCTTTGGTGATCATCAGTCCACAGGACAAGTGTCCTTGAGGGCAGCTGAGCTCCTTTTCCAACCTTATGTTTCCCCTGGGTCACGGTAGAGCTTCCTTTAATTTTTAACAGATCATAAACTGGTTTGGCAATGCTTGAGAAGTTTTGAATATAGGCTCTATAGTAGCTTAAGAAACCCAGTAACTTCCGCACTTCTCCAACTGTGCTTGGCCTCTTCTCTTTCAGGGACATGATGGCATCAATGTCTTTTGGGTCAATCCTGACACCGTCTGCAGAGACCAGCCTCCCAACATACCTGACCTCTTTCTGAAACAGCTCACACTTTGTTGGTCTAAGCTTGACACCATGGGACTGCAAGGCTCTCAGGACTTGACGTACTCCCTCAACATGGCTAGTGAAGGAGTCGGAGTAGCAGAGGATGTCATCGAGGTAAGGGATACAGCAGTTGTCACGCAGAGAGTCCAACATTTCCTCCATGCTGCGCTGAAAAGCAGCAGGGGCGTTGGAGAGTCCAAAAGGTATCCTCACCCACTCATACAGCCCCCAAGGGGTGATGAACGCCGTCATGTGTCTGGATCCTTCAGCAATGTAGCCCTGGTGGTAGGCCTTGCCTTGGTCTAAAATGCTGAACCAGCTTTGGCCTTTTAGGGTGTCGATTAGTTCCTGGATACGAGGCAATGGGTGACGGTCTGGTACTGTTTTCTGGTTTAACATTCTATAATCGATGCATAATCTTAGGGACCCATCCTTTTTCCTGACGCAGACTACAGGAGCTGAGTACGGAGATTTGGACTTAACTATCCACCCTTTTACAAGCAGGTCTTGGATGTACTCTTTAACCTCTTTATAAAGGGGCTTGGGCACTGCACTGTATGTGCGCTGAACTGGGATGTTGTCCTTTAAGTTGATGGACATTTGCAGGCTGGGAATGCAACTTATGTCCCCATCATCTTTAGCAAAGGCTGCCGATTCCTCGTGTAACATCTGTTCCACCTTCATCTGTTGCTCATCACTCAGGTGGCTGACATCCACAGGTGGGTGCCACAGTGCAGAAGTGGGTTTGTCACTGTTAGAGTGTGGTGATGTGGAAGAACTGGCTATATTTGCCTGGGCTTGATTGTCCTTGCTGCTTGGGTTGTCTGTCTCTATCACTCTATCAATGGTTTCGATGTTGCCTAGAACAGTACAGCTGGGCAGAGTCACAGCACTTCTGGAATGGTTTGACACAGGCACCTTTACGAAAGGTCTCTCTGTCTGTTGGATCGCCATTAGTCCTTCTCCAACACTCAGCTGTGCCAGTGGTGTAGCTTCTAGATTGGGTTCGAAAAGCACAAGTGAGTCGGATTCACTAATATCTACTGGTACCCTGCACTTAATATAAGCTACCTGGCCAGGATAAATAGTGACTTCTTTCCTGCCTATCTTTACTGCAGCACTCTGTTGTTCCTGTTTTTGCTCAGTCTTTATGAAACTCACCATAGCTTCTGCCATAGCACTGTCAGTCTCCAAAGCACCAGTAAGCAAGTTGACAAGGATAGATATCACTTTGGGTCTACTTTCATGACTCCTAAAGAGTTCCTGGATGACATTAAAACCAACTATTGGTCTGTCTATTTTTATTCGACTCACTAGGAAAGGCACTCGAATAGATAAGTCTGGATCATCGTTTCCCTGCAGGTTTACTACCACTTCAATCCATCCTTCATAAGGTACTGCATCTCCTGTGACAGCCGTCACGTAGAGATCATCCTCCATGAGTTCACTGAGGGGTCTAATATCTTGTCCAGGTAAGTATCTGTCTTTCCAAGCACTGTCTATTATGCTCACATTGGCCCCAGAGTCTAAAAGAGCGGTTATGGGGTAACCGTTCATGCTACCGCTCAATAGCGACTTTCGGCCAATTAGCGGAGCTATCTTTTTGATTGGGTGTTGTTCGTTATTTTTCTGCGTGTTGATAGGTGTACGACCAGTGCTTTGTCTTGCTGCTGTAACCTCCTGGGGGTGAGACTTGTCCTTTGGGTCGGTCAGTGGTCGTCCCGTTGCCCTGACCGGCGCCCGTTTCCCGCCTGCTTCTGTCTTTTCAAGCAGCCTATAGCACGATGACCCTCCTCCCCACAGAAAAAGCAGTGGCTACAGTTTGGTTGAGCCTGAGCTAGGCATTGTGGGCACCCATACGGTCTCCTGGTCTTCTTCTCTGGTCTGGTTTTGTCAGAGCAACACTGGTGAGTGGTTTGATGTAGCCCCTCAGGCACCTGGGTCGTTGTTGATAGCTGTTTCAGTGTTTCCATTGCCTGTGTTAAAGCCTCAACCTGAGCACTCAATCTCTGGATGACATTATCCTTACTTTTGATTTGAGTCTCTCCCACACTGCTGAGTATTTCTTCAGGTTCAGCGAGTATGCTGTGTGCTTGAGTCAACTTGCGGTTGGAACTGCGTCCCAGTCTGCGCTTTCTTTCACTTTCTTCCATTGTAGTCTTGATAACCTGCCTTAACAGAGGCAGTGGTTTCAGCTCCCGTCTGACATCCTCATGTCTCTCTCCCATGCCTTGATAGACTGCATTCAAAAACACACCCTGCAGTGTAGACGCATCATACTTAATAAGTGCATTTGCCTGCCTGGAGGTGAACATTATTTTTTGTTTCAGTCCTATCATGCGGTATAGGAATTGCTGTGGAGCTTCATTTTCATGCTGTCTAGCACACATCAATTCCTGGAAGAGCTCTATGCTGCTCTTCTCGCCAAGGTGGGACTGCAGGAAACTCTTCAGCTCCGTGACTGTAAGATCTTCCTTGTTTGTCAGCATGTCTTTAAAGTTTCCACCCTTTATTATGCGTAACACCCCTCTAATGATCTCGTCGTCAGTGTGTTGCTCTCTGCAGCCTTCCTCAATCTGTTTACATAAGCTGTTAAAGCTAATGTCTGATGAAGTGTCAGTTATCTGCCCTCCATGAATCTTAAACTCCCTCCTATGCAGAAGTGAAAGATCTTTAAGGGAAATCATGCTCTCTCGGGTGGTATTAGAGAGTCCTTCTGTAGATGTATGTGGTGAGTTAGGTGTATGCTGCTCACTGGGTTGGCTAGAGTGAGGTTGCGGTGTATCTGAACTAGGTGTGGTGACACCGTGTTGAAGTTTGTTTTGCACCTCCTTTAAGCCCCTTAACAGTTTCTGTATGTCCGTGTCATGAATGCCAGTCTCAGTTGGATTGTCTAATGGCTCAAGTGGTTGGTTAGCGTTAACAGCAGCAGATAACATCAGAGGTGACTTAACAGAAGTATCAATTTCACCCTCTTTGGAACACACTGTACCCCTGCTACGGTTTGCAATAATCAAATCAACAGTATCTTGTAGACACAACAACATTGACATTCCCTCATCTTCTAGGTTTAGTAGAGTCACACTGTTCATATTCGCAGCAATATACTTAACACAGCCCTCCTCGTCGTCCCTGTTTAGCTCTGATGAGTCAAGTCCTTCCACTGGATCGAGGTGTGTGGCAACTTCATACGCTTCATCTGCTGTTAACTGTTGAAGTCTTTTCTTGATGGACCAGCTTAGTCTCTTCCTCTCGTTGTCAGCCATCCTGTGTGTTGTGGGCAACTGTGGCAAACAGTTCTGCACTCCTAGGCGTAGATCCCCTTTAACCTGGTCTCTCTACCTCTTGAGTCGCTAACTGGAAGCACCTTCACTCCGGCAACACGTCGTCAGTCCGGTCCTTAGGTCCAATATCTCTGGATCAGCATATGGTCGTCTCAAACGATGCTGATCGAGCCCCCAATAATCTGTAGCAGGCCCCGCTATGCAGGGCGCGATGACAGATTATATTCCTGTAGAACAGGAGAAATTATGAGCAGAGAATGCCTTTTGCTGCTCGTTTGGCGGGTCTTGCCAGAATTTATTCACAATTGGCACAAAACAAAACACAATTGTTCTTGCCCTTTTCCTACTCTCAATATAAACACATGTTTATATGTTCATGTCTTCAAAATATACTTTTAACATGCTTGAAGTATTCAAAATAAACACATTTGTCTATAACCAAATGTCATTAACTTCATGACTAAAAATAAGAATGTACTGTTAAGTACCTTTTCAGGATAACTATTAGCATTAGTCTAAAATGTGCTAGCATTAGCATCTAACAAGCATTTACAATAATTAAAGAACGACTGCACATAGGCTATCGATAATACAGAACACACCTTGTCATTTGGAATATAAACACTGAAAATAGGTAGCTAATAAAGTGCACAGGAGCTATAAACAATTAACTTGCATTCACTTTCATCAGGGAGCGTGAGTCTACTACATCTAAATAGCAACCGCCATTATACATACACACAGCCACCACGAGGTGGTCTTACATCTAAATAGCGACCGCCATTACACATACACACACAGACACCACGAGGTGGTCTTCTACGCGGCATGAAACATAATAAACAACATCTAAACATCACTTCAAACTTAAGACATTGCGATTTATAACATTTGTGACAATCTGTACACATTACTGACCTGTAGAACAGGAGAAATGATGAGCAGAGAATGCCTTTTACTGCTCGTTTGGCGGGTCTTGCCAGAATGACAAGCTAACGACAGCTCCGTCATCGCGTCAGACATTTTACGGCAGACGCGTAAATAATAACCAACCCCTTTGCGGCAGTGATACCCTGCCATCTACTGCCCCCTGCTGTCCATTGTTAAACAGGTCATATTAAATCATATTAATTATACACATACAATTGTGATTACACTTTGTGTGGGTCACACATGCACCTGGTCCTTGGGGAAGGGGGCGTTAACTTAAGAGACCATCACAGTTACTAAAGAGGACTCAGACTCCCAGCATGCACCTGGTCCTTGGGGAGAGGGGCGTTAACTTAAGAGACCATCACAGTTACTAAAGAGGACTCAGATTCCCAGCATGCACCTGGTCCTCGGGGATGGGGGCGTTAACTTAAGAGACCATCACAGTTACTAAAGAGGACTCAGACTCCCAGCATGCACCTGGCCCTTTGGGAGGGGGGCGTTAACTTAAGAGACCATCACAGTTACTAAAGAGGACTCAGATTCCCAGCATGCACCTGGTCCTCGGGGATGGGGGCGTTAACTTAAAGGGGACCTATCATGCAAAATGCACTTGTGTACGTCTGTTATACATGAATGTGTGTCCCCGGTGTGTCAGAAAACACCTCTCTATTTTCCTCCATACCCAAATCTCTAAAAAAGGATCTGATACAGATTTGAAATTGTTCTGACGTCAGGACGGAGGAGCTCCGACTATATGGGCAACTCTCCACCTATCAGGGGAATGAGAGGTTTGCCGTGGCATGGTAACAGCATGGTAACAGCATGGTAACAGCATGGTAACAGCATGGTAACATGACGCTCGTGCCTCGTGGTCAGCTGCAGCTCATTGGCCACAGAATCAGCCCGTGTGAAAACAGGGCAGGAAAACAGCAAATAGAGCGAAATGAGGCTAAAACGCATGTATAGGTATGGCCCTACAATATATTTTTCAAATATAGCATGATAGGTCCACTTTAAGAGACCATCACAGTTACTAAAGAGGACTCAGACTCCCAGCATGCACCTGGTCCTTGCCGCGGCCCTGCTCTCGGAGGTCCAGCGCGATGCGGTGCGTCTGCTCTTTGGTTGCGATCAGATTCACGTTGAACGCAATCAGGAACTTCCGAGCGCCGGTTACCGTGGCGCCCCACGACGGCACGAAGAGGGCGGGGCCAAAGTCAGGCGACCAATCAGGACTCTTCAACTGCAGGACAGAAACAAATACTTATTATAACCTTTAATCTTTAACACGCTTAAACGAGCTTTATGGATCTTGAACAAACTTTAACGAGCTATCCTAAAGTTAGCACACTTAATTGACGTTATTTTGAAACCCCAACCCTCCTTGTCTCCTACATTTCCCACAATGCCTTGTGTTAGATAAGTAATAGTAGAGCAAACAGGAAGTGGTCTCACCTTCTCAGGTAAAGCTTCGTATTCTCCTGCTCGGACCGACGGAAGATTCCTCCTCGACTCTTTCCTCGCTGCCTCTCCGTACAAATACACTGAAGACAGAGAGGGTTAGCCACATGCTAACGTAGCTACATGGATATTATTGTTAGCCCATGCTAACGTAGCTTAATGGATATTATTGTTAGCCACATGCTAACGTAGCTTCATGGATATTATTGTTAGCCAAATGCTAACGTAGCTTCATGGGTATTATTGTTAGCCACATGCTAACGTAGCTTAATGGATATTATTGTTAGCCACATGCTAACGTAGCTTCATGGATATTATTGTTAGCCAAATGCTAACGTAGCTTCATGGATATTATTGTTAGCCACATGCTAACGTAGCATTATGAATATTAGCATCTCACCAGGCACATGTAGCATCTCGGCTAGCTTCTTTCCGAAGGCCTCTGCGCAGCGGACGCAGTCGTCCATCGAGACATTTTGAACCGGAACGAAGGGACAGACGTCCAGAGCTCCGGAGCGGGGGTGCTCACCTGTACAGAAACACACCTGAGCTACTTCCTGTCTGCAGTACTTCCTGTCTGTAGTACTTCCTGTCTGCAGTACTTCCTGTCTGCAGTACTTCCTGCTCACCTGAGTGTCGGGTCATGTCAATCAGCTTGAAGGCGGTGCTGGCAGCGTTCAGCGCGCCCTGCACCACGGACTCAGGTGAGCCCACGAAGGTGAACACGCTCCGATGAGTCGAGGCTCCGGAGTCAACGTCCAATAGACTGCAGCCAGGAGAGGACGAGATGGACAGAGAGATGGCATCAATCACCTGAGGACAGACAGAGAGATGGCATCAATCACCTGGGGACAAACTGTGAGATCAATTACCTGGGGACAGATAGAGATCAATCACCTGGGACAAACTGTGAGATCAATCACCTGGGGACAAACTGTGAGATCAATCACCTGGGGACAGATAGAGATCAATCACCTGGGGACAAACTGAGAGATCAATCACCTGGGGACAGATAGAGATCAATCACCTGAAGACAGATAGAGATCAATCACCTGAGGACAGACAGAGTGATAAATCACCTGAGGACAGATAGAGATCAATCACCTGGGGACAGATATAGATCAATCACCTGAAGACAGATAGTGATCAATCACCTGAGGACAGACAGAGTGATCAATCACCTGGGGACAGATAGAGATCAATCACCTGGGGACAGACAGAGAGATGGCATCAATCACATGGGGACAAACTGTGAGATCAATCACCTGGGGACAGATAGAGATCAATCACCTGGGGACAAACTGTGAGATCAATCACCTGGGGACAGATAGAGATCAATCACCTGGGGACAGACAGTGAGATCAATCACCTGGGGACAGATAGAGATCAATCACCTGGGACAAACTGTGAGATCAATCACCTGGGGACAAACTGTGAGATCAATCACCTGGGGACAGACAGTGAGATCAATCACCTGGGGACAGATAGAGATCAATCACCTGGGACAAACTGTGAGATCAATCACCTGGGGACAAACTGTGAGATCAATCACCTGGGGACAGATAGAGATCAATCACCTGGGGACAAACTGAGAGATCAATCACCTGGGGACAAACTGTGAGATCAATCACCTGGGGACAGATAGAGATCAATCACCTGAGGACAGACAGAGTGATCAATCACCTGAGGACAGATAGAGATCAATCACCTGGGGACAAACTGAGAGATCAATCACCTGAAGACAGACAGAGTGATCAATCACCTGGGGACAGACAGAGATCAATCACCTGGGGACAGATAGAGATCAATCACCTGGGGACAGACAGAGAGGAGCAGGACGTCCTGCAGCTGAGGTCTGTCTCTGATGAAACACCAGAGAGCAGCATCATGCATGTATAATAATACATAACATAATAATATATATATATATATATATATATATATATATATATATATATATATACACACACAGTATTTATATATATAATATGATGTAAAGTACTGCACCTCTCTGCATGATGTTGCATGAAACAGCAGAGAACAACATCATGCAATAATAAGATGAAATATATATATACACAGTATTTGTGTATATATATATATACACAGTATTTATATATAATGAATATAAGTGAAAGTACCTCTTTGTTTCTGCCCTCAGAGAAGTTGGGGACACACTCCACCAGCTGAGCCATGATCCTGTCTGAGAGAGACACACACACTCTGAGACCCTACGGTGTGTGTGGATCATTAACTGTGTGTGTGTGTGTGTGTGTGTGTGTGTGGATCATTAACTGTGTGTGTGTGTGTGTGTGTGTGTGTGTGTGTGTGTGGTCAGCTGACAATGATTACTCTGCAGACTGATTAACAGCCTAAAAACACACAGCCTTTCATCCCTCTGTTACTGAACACACACACACACACACACACACACACACACACACACACACACACACACACACACACACACACACACACACACACACACACACACACACACACACACACACACACACACACACACACACACACACACACACACACACACACACACACACACACACACACACACACAGTTAATGATACACACACAGTTAATGATACACACACACACACACACACACACACACACACACACACACACACACACACACACACACACACACACACACACACACACACACACACACACACACACACACACACACACACACACACACACACACACACACACACACACACACACACACACACACACACAGTTAATGATCCACACACACACACACACACACACACACACACACACACACACAGCAGCATTGTGAAGCAGGGAGTTAATCACAGCTGGATAATAAATACAGTAATTTATTAAATATATAAAACGTATTATGTATTACCCCCCCACATTATTGATCCTCAGCTCTGTGGGGTCAGGGGTCAGAGGTCAGGGTCTCTCAGGTCAGTCACCCCTCTCAGTTAGTTTTAAAGGCTCCCTCTCCTCGGGTGTTTATCAGACGGTATCACCTGGCTGAGTGGAATACTGGATTCTGATTGGTCCATTGCGACATCTCAGAGGCAGCAGTACAGACATGTACTGTTGTGTGTGTGTGTGTGTGTGTGTGTATATGTGTGTATGTGTGTGTGTGTGTGTGTGTGTGTGTGTGTGTGTGTGTGTGTGTGTGTGTGTGTGTGTGTGTGTGTGTGTGTGTGTGTGTGTGTGTGTGTGTGTGTGTGTGTGTTGCTCAAAGTAACCAGTGTGTGTGTTCTGGTTAAATATATAGAGAGTTCCCTCACATGGAGACACGGTGACTCATCAGAAATACTTTGTACTAAATGTACTAATAGTGATATTTAGTAATAACCCCTGACCCTACAGAGGCCCCCTTTCAGAGGATTTCAAAATAAAACAATAAAGGTGATAAAGACATAAACTGAGAGACTTTATAAACTTTATTGATTTATGATTTCAGAATAAAGTGCGAGGTGTTGATTCCGACCTTTGAGACGCTTTATGGCTCAGAGTCCTCGTATAAATACTTCATGAAGACTTTATTAAAGTTATTCTGCGCCATGGACGCCTGGCTGCTGCTCGCTGCGGGTGAGACGCTCTTATTGGGAAGGGGTATCTACGTGCTCTTATTCTGGAGGTGTATCTACATGCTCTTATTCTGAAGGTTTATCTACATGCTCTTATTCTGAAGGGTTATCTAAGTGCTCTTATTCTGAAGGTTTATCTACATGCTCTTATTCTGAAGGTTTATCTACATGCTCTTATTCTGAAGGTTTATCTACGTGCTCTTATTCTGAAGGTTTATCTACATGCTCTTATTCTGAAGGTTTATCTACATGCTCATATTCTGAAGATTTATCTACGTGCTCTTATTCTGAAGGTTTATCTACATGCTCTTATTCTGAAGGTTTAGCTACGTGCTTTTATTCTGGAGGTTTATCAGAGCTCTTATTCTGAAGGTTTATCTACATGCTCTTATTCTGAAGGTTTATCTACGTGCTTTTATTCTGGAGGTTTATCAGAGCTCTTATTCTGAAGGGTTATCTACATGCTCTTATTCTGAAGGTTTAGCTACGTGCTTTTATTCTGGAGGTTTATCAGAGCTCTTATTCTGAAGGTTTATCTACATGCTCTTATTCTGAAGGTTTATCTACGTGCTTTTATTCTGGAGGTTTATCAGAGCTCTTATTCTGAAGGGTTATCTACATGTTCTTATTCTGAAGGTTTATCTATGTGCTTTTATTCTGGAGGTTTATCAGAGCTCTTATTCTGAAGGTTTATCTACATGCTCTTATTCTGAAGATTTATCTACGTGCTCTTATTCTGAAGGTTTATCTACATGCTCTTATTCTGAAGGTTTAGCTACGTGCTTTTATTCTGGAGGTTTATCAGAGCTCTTATTCTGAAGGGTTATCTACATGCTCTTATTCTGAAGGTTTATCTACGTGCTTTTATTCTGGAGGTTTATCAGAGCTCTTATTCTGAAGGGTTATCTACATGCTTTTATTCTGAAGGTTTAGCTACGTGCTTTTATTCTGGAGGTTTATCAGAGCTCTTATTCTGAAGGTTTATCTACATGCTCTTATTCTGAAGGTTTATCTACGTGCTTTTATTCTGGAGGTTTATCAGAGCTCTTATTCTGAAGGGTTATCTATGTGCTTTTATTCTGGAGGTTTATCAGAGCTCTTATTCTGAAGGGTTATCTACATGCTCTTATTCTGAAGGTTTAGCTACGTGCTTTTATTCTGGAGGTTTATCAGAGCTCTTATTCTGAAGGGTTATCTGTGTGCTCTTATTCTGAAGGATTATCTGTGTGCTCTTATTATGGAGGTTTATCAGAGCTCTTATTGTGAAGGCTTATCTGTCTGCTCTTATTCTGAAGGGTTATCTGTGTGCTCTTATTCTGAAGGGTCATCTAAGTGCTTTTATTCTGGAGGTTTATCAGAGCTCTTATTCTGAAGGTTTATCTGTGTGCTCTTATTCTGGAGGCTAGGGACATGCTAACGGTGCTAAAGGAGAGTGTGTAGTACATGCTAACGGTGCTAAAGGAGAGTGTGTAGTACATGCTAACGGTGCTAAAGGAGAGTGTGTAGTACATGCTAACGGTGCTAAAGGAGAGTGTGTAGTACATGCTAACGTTGCTAAAGGAGAGTGTGTAGTACATGCTAACGGTGCTAAAGGAGAGTGTGTAGTACATGCTAACGGTGCTAAAGGAGAGTGTGTAGTACATGCTAACGGTGCTAAAGGAGAGTGTGTAGTACATGCTAACGGTGCTAAAGGAGAGTGTGTAGTACATGCTAACGGTGCTAAAGGAGAGTGTGTAGTACATGCTAACGGTGCTAAAGGAGAGTGTGTAGTACATGCTAACGGTGCTAAAGGAGAGTGTGTAGTACATGCTAACGGTGCTAAAGGAGAGTGTGTAGTACATGGTTGATGAGTGAGGTTATCAAATTTAGCAGTGATTCCATGTCAGCCACAGCTTGTCACAAATGTTTTTACTGATAGTGTATTTAACAAACTTAAACTAGCTTTATTAAATGTCAGGTCTTTGGCAGGAAAAACATTTTTAATCAATGATTTTATCACTGAGCACAATCTGGATTTTATGTTTTTAACGGAAACTTGGATTGAACAAAATAACAGTGCAGCTGTTCTTATCGAATCAACCCCTCCCAACTTCAGTTTTATGAGTCAGGAAAGAAAGCATAAGAAAGGGGGTGGAGTTGCTATTCTGTTCAATGATTCCATTCAATGCAGGAAGACATCTTATGGGGACTTTGCTTCTTTTGAATATGTGGCCCTTCAGCTGAAATGCTCCTCTCGAGCTCTGTTCCTAAATATCTATAGACCACCCAAATACTGTGCAAGCTTTTTTGATGATTTTACTGAACTGCTGTCTATAGTGTGTATTGACTTTGACCGTCTAGTCATTGTTGGTGATTTTAACATCCATGTTGACAACCCCCAGGACAGAGGGGCTAAAGAACTGTTTTGTGTTCTTGATAACTATGGACTGACTCAGCATGTGGCGGAGCCCACACACAATAAGGGGCACACTCTGGACTTAATTATCTCAAAGGGTCTGAATATCTCAAAGGTTGTGGTGACTGATGTTGCACTCTCTGATCATTCCTGTGTTTTCTTTGAGAGCTCTATTTCTGTTCACACAAATGTTCAGAAAGAGGTAACCACAAAGCGATATTTAACTGAAAATACTAGGGAAATGTTTACTCATAATTTTTCATCCACACTTGCCCCTGCTAACATCTCAGTGAATGAGCTAGTAGATCATTTTAATTCAAAAATTAAAAATGTTATAGATACCATTGCTCCAACGAAGGTAAAGGAAGTGTCTGGCAAGAAAATATCTCCATGGAGAAAGGCCATGACCGTGAGAACAGAAAAAAGAGAGTGTCGAAAAGCTGAACGTAGGTGGAGAAAAACAAATCTCCAGGTTCACTTTGAAATCCATAAAGAGAGACTTGGCCTTTATAATTTGGAATTGAAAAACGCACGACAGTCTTTCTTCTCTGACATCATTACCAAAATCAAAAACAACGCACGTGCCTTGTTTGCTACCGTCGACAGACTAACTAACCCCCCAGTGTCAGTAGCCTCTGAATTTCTATCCACCAGGGCGTGCAATGATTTTGCCTTCTTCACTGACAACATTCAGAACATCAGACAAGCAGTCAGTGCCTCTGCATCAGGTACAGAAAATGTGTTGTCCCTATGTCCACCTAATATCAATTCAAACACCATGACACAATTCCATCAGATTAATGGTAAAAACCTACAGGACATTATTCAACTTCTGAAATCCTCCTCCTGCTGCCTTGATATTATTCCAACAGGATTTTTCAAAGATGTTTTTCATTGCATGGCCTCAGATCTACTTCATATAGTAAACACATCTCTTCACTCAGGTGTTTTTCCAGAGGCCCTGAAAACTGCAGTCATTAAACCGCTCTTAAAAAAGAATAATCTAGATGCCTCAGTAATGAACAATTACAGGCCCATATCAAACCTGCCATTTCTAGGTAAAATCATTGAAAAAGTTGTTTTTCAACAGTTGAGTAACTTCTTGCATTTAAATAACTGTTTGGATGTGTTCCAGTCAGGCTTTCGTCCAAACCACAGCACTGAGACTGCTCTTGTAAAGGTCTTCAATGACATCCACTTAAACACAGACAGTGGCAGAACTTCAGTGTTAGTATTATTAGATCTCAGTGCTGCGTTTGACACTGTTGACCACAACATATTACTAGACCGACTAGAAAACTGGGTGGGACTTTCGGCAACAGTTCTAAATTGGTTTGAGTTCTACTTAAAGGACAGAAAAAACTTTGTTTCTATAGGTAAATACACATCTGAGTTGACAAATATGACATGTGGGGTACCTCAAGGCTCCATCTTGGGGCCTCTTCTCTTTAACATCTACATGCTACCACTGGCTCAGATAATGAAAAACAACAAAATAAGTTACCATAGCTATGCGGATGACACACAAATGTACGTAACAATTTCACCAGGAGATTATGCTCCAATTCAAACACTGAGTAAGTGCATTGAACAAATCAATGACTGGATGTGTCAGAACTTTCTCCAATTAAACAAAGATAAAACTGAGGTAATGGTTTTTGGAGCCAAGGCAGAACGTATAAAAGTTAGCGCTGAGCTTCAGTCTGCAATGTTCAAAACAACAGATAGAGCCAGAAATCTAGGTGTAGTCATGGACTCTGACCTGAGTTTCAACAGTCACATTAAAACAGTTACTAAATCAGCCTACTATCACCTAAAGAACATATCTAGGATTAAAAGACTAATGTCACAGCAGGATTTGGAAAAACTTGTCCATGCTTTTATCTTCAGTAGACTCGACTACTGCAATGGTGTCTTTACAGGTCTCACTAACACATCTATTAGAAAGCTGCAGCTAATTCAGAACGCCGCTGCTCGAGTCCTCACTAACACTAAGAGAGTGGATCACATCACTCCTGTGCTGAAGTCCTTACACTGGTTTCCTGTGTGTCAAAGAATAGATTTCAAAATATTGTTGCTGGTTTATAAAGCTTTGAATGGTTTAGGCCCAAAATACATGTCTGACCTACTGCTAAATGATGAACCATCCAGATCTCTCAGGTCTTCAGGGACTGGTCAGCTTTCTGTCCCCAGAGTCAGAACTAAACATGGAGAAGTTCAGTTATTATGCTCCAAATATCTGGAACAAACTCCCAGAAACCTGCAGGTCCGCTGCAACTCTTACTACTTTTAAATCCAGGCTGAAGACTTTTCTTTTTGCCGCTGCTTTTAATTGAACTATTCACATCTTAAACTGCACTGTAACTTTTAACTTTTATCCATGTATTTTTTCTTTTAATGTTTATTTTATTATCTTTTCTTTTTAATGACTGATTTTAAATGCCATTTTCATAATGTCTTCCATTTTTGTAAAGCACTTTGAATTGCCTTGTGTTGAAAGGTGCTATATAAATAAACTTGCCTTGCCTTGCCTTGATAGTTCTGGTTTATGACCAATACATTTGTTAATGACCTTCACAGCAGAACACTTTCTCAGCGTCAGCCGGACTGATATCACAAAGACTAATTATTAACATGCTAATAAAATGATCTTTATCTCCTAACAGCTGTTTACCTGGCCTCTAGAGCTGGAGCTCAGTCGACAACAAACGACCCCCCCTCTGTGTTCCCAGCTACTGCCAATACTATGATCCCAGATACTGCCAATACTATGATCCCAGATACTGCCAATACTATGATCCCAGATACAGCCAATACTATGATCCCAGATACTGCCAATACTATGATCCCAGATACTGCCAATACTATGATCCCAGATACTGCCAATACTATGATCCCAGATACTGCCAATACTATGATCCCAGATACTGCCAATACTATGATCCCAGATACTGCCAATACTATGATCCCAGATACTGCCAATACTATGATCCCAGATACTGCGAATACTATGATCCCAGATACTGCCAATACTATGATCCCAGATACTGCCAATACTATGATCCCAGATACTGCCAATACTATGATCCCAGATACTGCGAATACTATGATCCCAGATACTGCCAATACTATGATCCCAGATACTGCGAATACTATGATCCCAGATACTGCGAATACTATGATCCCAGATACAGCGAATACTATGATCCCAGATACTGCCAATACTATGATCCCAGATACTGCCAATACTATGATCCCAGATACAGCCAATACTATGATCCCAGATACAGCCAATACTATGATCCCAGATACTGCCAATACTATGATCCCAGATACAGCCAATACTATGATCCCAGATACTGCCAATACCGAATCACCGGGAAAAACTACTGTACTGCCGGAAAATATTACTGAACCAAATCTAGAAGAGACAACTCTAAATCTAGAAGAGACAACTCCAAATCCAGAAGAGACAACTCTACCTACAGGAGGTACAACTCCAAATCCAGAAGAGACAAGTCCAAATCCAGAAGAGACAACTCTACCTACAGGAGGTACAACTCCAAATCCAGAAGAGACAAGTCCAAATCCAGAAGAGACAACTCCAAATCCAGAAGAGACAACTCTACCTACAGGAGGTACAACCCCAAATCCAGAAGAGACAACTCCAAATCCAGAAGAGACAAGTCCAAATCCAGAAGAGACAAGTCCAAATCCAGAAGAGACAACTCCAACTCCAAATCCAGAAGAGACAACTCTACCTACAGGAGGTACAACTCCAAATCCAGAAGAGACAACTCTACCTACAGGAGGTACAACCCCAAATCCAGAAGAGACAACTCCAACTCCAGAAGAGACAACTCCAACTCCAACTCCAGAAGAGACAACTCCAACTCCAAATCCAGAAGAGACAAGTCCAAATCCAGAAGAGACAACTCCAACTCCAAATCCAGAAGAGACAACTCTACCTACAGGAGGTACAACCCCAAATCCAGAAGAGACAACTCCAACTCCAGAAGAGACAACTCCAACTCCAACTCCAGAAGAGACAACTCCAACTCCAAATCCAGAAGAGACAAGTCCAAATCCAGAAGAGACAACTCTACCTACAGGAGGTACAACTCCAAATCCAGAAGAGACAACTCTACATACAGGAGAGACTACTAACCCTAACCTGACCACTGTCTTTTATGACAATTATACTGATAATTTCACCAGCGACTGGACAGATACTACTCCTCTTCCTACTACTGCTGTTCCTACTACTACTACTACTACTGCTGTTCCTACTACTACTACTACTACTCCTACTACTACTACTACTACTCGTACTACTACTACTACTACTACTTCTTCTCCTCCTCGTACTACCACTACTTCTCGTCCTACTACTCCCCCCCCACTGGTTTGTGCTAATGGCGGGTTCCCTCTGTCCGGAGTCTGCGTCTGTCCTGACGAGTGGACCGGAAAGAACTGTTCTGTTGGTGAGTCGCTTTAGAACCAGCAGTACTATTCACTACTCTTTACCATAACATCAGAATCATTTCAATCACTCACTTTCTACTCGTTAAGAGATATGTTTTCAAAAGAAATTAAAGCTGATTATCCTCTGTTTTTGCAGTTTAAAGATGATGTTATCGACATAAAAATACTTCAATCTCTCAGAATATACAGCTTTTTACCCAGGTAGATGTTGAACACTGTCCCTCTGAATCTCTGCCATCTTTACTCATCTCGTCCTCAGCAAACTCCTGCCGGGCTCAGAAGTTGGGCGAGTATAATTTCCCACAAACACCCATTGGCTGGTTTGCGTATTCCAAGGAGATCTGTGCAACCGGATCCAGCGGTGGTGAGTTCCTACCGAATTTACGTAAATTCCAAAATATTCCACAGTGTGTGAGTCCAACACTTCAATATGTTTCCGTCCAGCCGGGAAACCGCAGGCCTCGACACAATGCTCCAACAGGACCGGAGCCCCGGGTTTCCAGAATCCTCCGCAGATCTTCCTCTGCGACCAGACGCTCAGCGACATCCAAAAGAACGTGAGTCCCGATTTCTCTGGAATGTAACTCCACTCTGCCAGCTCTAACACTTTTTAGTTTGTATCTACCGTCTCTCCTCTCAGATCACCAGCTCAGCAGATTTAGAGGCCTTGGCATCCAGCACTCAGATCCTCACCTCCAACCCTGAGGAGCTGACGGCTGCCGACGTGAAGACCGCCACTGAGATCGCCAACACCTTGCTGAGGTCCCCGTACGCCAAGGAGGTAGAAACACTCTGCTGAGGTCCCCGTACGCCCAGGAGGTAGAAACACTCTGCTGAGGTCCCCGTACGCCAAGGAGGTAGAAACACTCTGCTGAGGTCCCCGTACGCCCAGGAGGTAGAAACACTCTGCTGAGGTCCCCGTACGCCCAGGAGGTAGAAACACTCTGCTGAGGTCCCTGTATGCCCAGGAGGTAGAAACACTCTGCTGAGGTCCCCGTACGCCCAGGAGGTAGAAACACTCTGCTGAGGCCCCCGTACGCCCAGGAGGTAGAAACACTCTGCTGAGGTCCCTGTATGCCCAGGAGGTAGAAACACTCTGCTGAGGCCCCCGTATGCCCAGGAGGTAGAAACACTCTGCTGAGGTCCCCGTACGCCCAGGAGGTAGAAACACTCTGCTGAGGCCCCCGTATGCCCAGGAGGTAGAAACACTCTGCTGAGGTCCCCGTACGCCCAGGAGGTAGAAACACTCTGCTGAGGCCCCCGTATGCCCAGGAGGTAGAAACACATCTGCTGAGGTCCCCGTACGCTCAGGAGGTAGAAAACACTCTGCTGAGGTCCCCGTATGCCCAGGAGGTAGAAACACTCTGCTGAGGCCCCCCGTATGCCCAGGAGGTAGAAACACTCTGCTGAGGTCCCGTACGCTCAGGAGGTAGAAACACTCTGCTGAGGTCCCGTATGCCCAGGAGGTAGAAACACTCTGCTGAGGCCCCCGTATGCCCAGGAGGTAGAAACACTCTGCTGAGGTCCCCGTACGCTCAGGAGGTAGAAACACTCTGCTGAGGTCCCCGTATGCCCAGGAGGTAGAAACACTCTGCTGAGGCCCCCGTACGCCCAGGAGGTAGAAACACTCTGCTGAGGCCCCGTACGCCCAGGAGGTAAAAACACTCTGCTGAGGTCCCCGTACGCCCAGGAGGGTAGAAACACTCTGCTGAGGCCCCCGTATGCCCAGGAGGTAGAAACACTCTGCTGAGGCCCCCGTACGCCCAGGAGGTAAAACACTCTGCTGAGGTCCCCGTATGCCCAGGAGGTATAAACACTCTGCTGAGGTCCCCGTATGCCCAGGAGGTATAAACACTCTGCTGAGGCCCCCGTATGCCCAGGAGGTAGAAACACTCTGCTGAGGTCCCCGTATGCCCAGGAGGTATAAACACTCTGCTGAGGCCCCCGTATGCCCAGGAGGTAGAAACACTCTGCTGAGGCCCCCGTACGCCCAGGAGGTAAAAACACTCTGCTGAGGTCCCCGTACGCCCAGGAGGTAGAAACACTCTGCTGAGGTCCCCGTATGCCCAGGAGGTAGAAACACTCTGCTGAGGCCCCCGTACGCCCAGGAGGTAGAAACACTCTGCTGAGGTCCCCGTACGCCCAGGAGGTAGAAACACTCTGCTGAGGTCCCCGTATGCCCAGGAGGTAGAAACACTCTGCTGAGGTCCCCGTACGCCCAGGAGGTAGAAACACTCTGCTGAGGCCCCCGTACGCCCAGGAGGTAGAAACACTCTGCTGAGGTCCCCGTATGCCCAGGAGGTAGAAACACTCTGCTGAGGTCCCCGTACGCCCAGGAGGTAGAAACACTCTGCTGAGGTCCCCGTATGCCCAGGAGGTAGAAACACTCTGCTGAGGTCCCCGTACGCCCAGGAGGTAGAAACAGAAACAAAGAAGCCCACGATACTTTCCCCTGTAAACAACAGTAAGATGGCAAAGGCCAACACCTCCAATCAGGACATCAGCCACTTCCTGTATTCAGTCTACTTCCTGTATTCATTACAGGCAGCACAAATACACTGGAGAGAAACTCCAGCTGTAGACACTCTAGAACCAGTGACATTAGGACACTCTAGAACCAGGGACACTCTAGAACCAGTGACATTAGGACACTCTAGAACCAGGGACACTCTAGAACCAGTGACATTAGGACACTCTAGAACCAGTGACATTAGGACACTCTAGAACCAGTGACATTAGGACACTCTAGAACCAGTGACATTAGGACCCTCTAGAACCAGTGACATTAGGACCCTCTAGAACCAGTGACATTAGGACCCTCTAGAACCAGTGACATTAGGACACTCTAGAACCAGTGACATTAGGACACTCTAGAACCAGGGACACTCTAGAACCAGTGACATTAGGACACTCTAGAACCAGTGACATTAGGACACTCTAGAACCAGGGACACTCTAGAACCAGTGACATTAGGACACTCTAGAACCAGTGACATTAGGACACTCTAGAACCAGTGACATTAGGACACTCTAGAACCAGTGACATTAGGACCCTCTAGAACCAGTGACATTAGGACCCTCTAGAACCAGTGACATTAGGACACTCTAGAACCAGTGACATTAGGACACTCTAGAACCAGGGACACTCTAGAACCAGTGACATTAGGACACTCTAGAACCAGTGACATTAGGACACTCTAGAACCAGTGACATTAGGACACTCTAGAACCAGTGACATTAGGACACTCTAGAACCAGTGACATTAGGACACTCTAGAACCAGTGACATTAGGACACTCTAGAACCAGTGACATTAGGATCCTCTAGAACCAGTGACATTAGGACCCTCTAGAACCAGTGACATTAGGACCCTCTAGAACCAGTGACATTAGGACACTCTAGAACCAGTGACATTAGGACACTCTAGAACCAGGGACACTCTAGAACCAGTGACATTAGGACACTCTGGAACCAGTGACATTAGGACACTCTAGAACCAGTGACATTAGGACACTCTAGAACCAGGGACACTCTAGAACCAGTGACATTAGGACACTCTAGAACCAGTGACATTAGGATCCTCTAGAACCAGTGACATTAGGACCCTCTAGAACCAGTGACATTAGGACCCTCTAGAACCAGTGACATTAGGACACTCTAGAACCAGTAACATTAGGACACTCTAGAACCAGGGACACTCTAGAACCAGTGACATTAGGACACTCTAGAACCAGTGACATTAGGACACTCTAGAACCAGGGACACTCTAGAACCAGTGACATTAGGACACTCTAGAACCAGTGACATTAGGACACTCTAGAACCAGGGACACTCTAGAACCAGTGACATTAGGACACTCTAGAACCAGTGACATTAGGACACTCTAGAACCAGTGACATTAGGACCCTCTAGAACCAGTGACATTAGGACACTCTAGAACCAGTGACATTAGGACACTCTAGAACCAGGGACACTCTAGAACCAGTGACATTAGGACACTCTAGAACCAGTGACATTAGGACACTCTAGAACCAGAGACATTAGGACACTCTAGAACCAGTGACATTAGGACACTCTAGAACCAGTGACATTAGGACACTCTAGAACCAGTGACATTAGGACCCTCTAGAACCAGTGACATTAGGACACTCTAGAACCAGTGACATTAGGACACTCTAGAACCAGTGACATTAGGACACTCTAGAACCAGAGACATTAGGACCCTCTAGAACCAGTGACATTAGGACACTCTAGAACCAGTGACATTAGGACCCTCTAGAACCCAATGACATTAGGACCCTCTAGAACCAGTGACATTAGGACCCTCTAGAACCCAATGACATTAGGACCCTCTAGAACCAGTGACATTAGGACCCTCTAGAACCCAATGACATTAGGACCCTCTAGAACCCAGTGACATTAGGACCCTCGAGGACTCATTCCCTCCTGAAGAGTATGTTGAGTTCTCGGTTCTCACGGTGATGTTTGTCTGCAGAGCGTCAAGGTGTCAGCGGTGGCAACCGTCAGCCAGCTGCTGAACGCCGGCTCCCAGAGCGAGGGGAGCGAGGCCAACCTGGGGTGAGACTTATACATTATATACAGTTTATATATAATATATATACAGTTTATATATTATATACAGTTTATATATAATATATATACAGTTTATATATTATATACAGTTTATATATAATATATATACAGTTTATATATTATATACAGTTTATATATAATATATATACAGTTTATATATTATATACAGGTTATATATAATATATATACAGTTTATATATTATATACAGTTTATATATAATATATATACAGTTTATACATTATATACAGTTTATATATTATATACAGTTTATATATAATATATATACAGTTTATATATTATATACAGTTTATATATTATATACAGCTTATATATTATATACAGTTTAAACCAGGCCTTCAGTCCTCATTCACTCTTTCCGTGGTGCCTTCAGGCTCACGGTGACGTTGGACGAGCTCTCGCAGAACCTCAGTCTGGTCCAACCCAACTTGGTTCTTCAGGCAGCGCAGATCCCTGCTGCCAGCACCAAGGGGGTCCAGTTCACCGCGCTGTCAGGTCAGAACCTGGTACTGCTAATCAGTCAGAACCAGAACCTGTTACTGCTAGTGATCCAAAAGAAGATACATTTGATAAATAATAACCCTGTTTTCCCGGTGCATTCAGGGACATCGGGGAGTTTCGTCCCGGACCGGATTAAGCTGAACGACAACACGTCGGACATCGTGGTTGAAGACGGGTTTGTAGCCGACGCCGTGATCTTCGTGCGCCTCGCAGCAGGTTAGCCTCGCCTGGTTCTCAGGGTATTTCTCTTTATCAAAATAAATAAATCATATTGAAATGTTTCAGTTTATCAAAGCAATTAAAGGTTATGAACATTTTAACATTAATAATATCATTTCATATTATATTTCCACATTTATTTAATTTATTATTATATTTTTTATTATTTACTTTCTATTAATGCCTTGTTCAGAAAAAAAAGTAAAAAATAATAGCTAAACAATTTAGTGGAAAAAAAATATAGAATTTCTTTCTTGTGGTTTCAGCCCCGGCCACCGCCGACCCCCCGGCCGCCGCCCCCCCGGACTCCAACGTGTCGCTCGGCTTCGTGCTTTACCAGAACGACCGCTTCTTCCAGTCGAGGCTCTACACGAGGCGCAGGGCCCCCATCAGGGTCCTCTCGGCCAGCATCGGGGGTCCGGGGGGCCGGAGGGGGGGGGCCCAACACGTGGAGATGCTCTTCAGACCTGCAGTGAGGAAAATAAACACTTTCATGTGGGAATACTTTGAGTTAAAAGAGTAAACTGTTAACTGAGACATGGAGAAGAGAAGGTCGGAGAGGTTTATGAAATATGACTCCAGCTTGTTGCTTCCTTTATTTAATGATTCACTTTGATTTCTGTCTATAAACTGATATCATAAACATTTAGTTTATGGTTTGTTTTTTAGGTCGGATGACGATCAGCTGTGGGAATATGTTCTGTTGTTGTGAAGAAACCCGGTGACGTGAGAAACCAACGGATACTTTATCAGTGTTCCCTATGGAGAGAGGCTTTTATTTTGAAATGTAACGACTTCATTTTTAATGTTTAAAACTTTTTTCATTAGAATGTCAGAAAATACTCGTTACTTTTTATCTGTAGTAATTGAAAAATGTTAACACACTGAAGACATTTGACCGTTCTGTGTAGTCCTTGCCCAGTATCAAAGACATGTGAGATACATGTGAGATACATGTGAGATCCACGTGAGATACACGTGAGATACACGTGAGATACACGCGAGATACACGCGAGATACACGTGAGATACACGCGAGATACACGCTACACGCGAGATACACGTAAGATACATGTACACGTGAGATACACGTGAAATACATGTACACGTGAGATACACGTGAGATATACGTGAGATACACGCGAGATACACGCGAGATACACGCGAGATACACGCGAGATACACGCGAGATACACGCTACACGCGAGATACACGTGAGATACATGTACACGTGAGATACACGTGAGATACATGTACACGTGAGATACACGTGAGATACACGCGAGATACACGCGAGATACACGCGAGATACACGCGAGATACACGTGAGATACACGCGAGATACACGTGAGATACATGTACACGTGAGATACACGTGAGATACACGTGAGATACATGTACATGTGAGATACACGTGAGATACACGTGAGATACACGTGAGATACACGTGAGATACATGTGAGATACATGTACACGTGAGATACACGTGAGATACACGTTAGAGACACGTGAGATACACGTTAGAGACACGTGAGATACACGTGAGATACACGTGAGATACACGTGAGATACACGTGAGATACATGTACACGTGAGATACACGTGAGATACACGTGAGATACACGTGAGATACACGTTAGAGACACGTGAGATACACGTGAGATACACGTGAGATACACGTGAGATACACGTGAGATACATGTGAGATACATGTACACGTGAGATACACGTGAGATACACGTGAGATACATGTACACGTGAGATACATGTGTGATACATGTGAGATACATGTGAGATACATGTACACGTGAGATACACGTGAGATACACGTGAGATACATGTACACGTGAGATACACGTGAGATACACGTTAGAGACACGTGAGATACACGTGAGATACACGTGAGATACATGTACACGTGAGATACATGTGAGATACATGTGAGATACATGTGAGATAAATGTACACGTGAGATACACGTGAGATACATGTGAGATACATGTGAGATACACGTGAGATACATGTACACGTGAGATACATGTGAGATACATGTGAGATATATGTGAGATACATGTACACGTGAGATACATGTGAGATACACGTGAGATACACGTGAGATACACGTGAGATACACGTGAGATACATGTGAGATACACGTGAGATACATGTGAGATACACGTGAGATACATGTGAGATCCACGTGAGATACATGTGAGATCCACGTGAGATACATGTACACGTGAGATACATGTGAGATACACGTGAGATACACGTGAGATACATGTGAGATACATGTACACGTGAGATACATGTGAGATACACGTGAGATACATGTGAGATACACGTGAGATACATGTGAGATACACGTGTATCTCACGTGAGATACACGTGTATCTCACGTGGATCTCACGTGTATCTCACGTGTATCTCACGTGTATCTCACGTGGATCTCACATGTATCTCACGTGTATCTCACATGTATCTCACGTGGATCTCACGTGTATCTCACGTGTATCTCACGTGGATCTCACGTGTATCTCACGTGTATCTCACGTGTATCTCACGTGGATCTCACGTGTATCTCACGTGTATCTCACGTGTATCTCACGTGTATCTCACGTGAGATACACGTGAGATACACGTGAGATACATGTGAGATACATGTACACGTGAGATACATGTGAGATACATGTGAGATACATGTACACGTGAGATACATGTGTGATACATGTGAGATACATGTGAGATACATGTGAGATACATGTACACGTGAGATACATGTGAGATACATGTGAGATACATGTACACGTGAGATACACGTGAGATCCACGTGAGATACATGTACACGTGAGATACATGTGAGATACATGTGAGATACATGTACACGTGAGATACACGTGAGATCCACGTGAGATACATGTACACGTGAGATACATGTGAGATACATGTACACGTGAGATCCATGTGAGATCCGTTCTTACCTGCTGCAGGTGATGGAGGGCACGTCTCTGCACGACTTCGCCTGTGTTTTCTGGAAATACGACCTCCAGGACTGGAGCACGGACGGCTGCTGGAAGGGAAACGCCTCGGACGGACTGCTGAGATGTTTCTGTAACCACACCACCAACTTCGCTGCTCTCTGGGTGAACAGCAGTTTCTACAATAACATCAAGCAGATTATTAGATACTACAGAGTGAGTCTAAAGGAGGATGTTGGTTCAGTCTTTCAGGGAGGAGTACGAATACGCAGAAGCCCTCGGGGTGGTTTCTACTGTCGGACTCTCCTTCTCTATTCTGGGTTTGGTCATTACCATAATTCACCACATTAAAGACAAGTAAGACTCCATCATTCCTCATATCAGTGTTTCAGTGTTTCAGCGTTTCAGCGTTTCAGTGTTTCAGCGTTTCAGCGTAATGCTGCGTAGAGACAGGACTGATTGGTGTGTCTTTATTCTGTAGATATCGTATGTCAGGACTTTATTCTGTAGATATTAGACGTTAGGACTTTATTCTGTAGATATCAGACGTTAGGACTTTATTCTGTAGATATTAGACGTTAGGACTTTATTCTGTAGATATTAGACGTTAGGACTTTATTCTGTAGATATTATACTTTAGGACTTTATTCTGTAGATATTAGACGTTAGGACTTTATTCTGTAGATATTATACTTTAGGACTTTATTCTGTAGATATTAGACGTTAGGACTTTATTCTGTAGATATTATACTTTAGGACTTTATTCTGTAGATATTAGACGTTAGGACTTTATTCTGTAGATATTATACTTTAGGACTTTATTCTGTAGATATTAGACGTTAGGACTTTATTCTGTAGATATTATACTTTAGGACTTTATTCTGTAGATATTAGACGTTAGGACTTTATTCTGTAGATATTAGACGTCAGGACTTTATTCTGTAGATATTAGACGTTAGGACTTTATTCTGTAGATATTAGACGTCAGGACTTTATTCCGTAGATATTAGACGTTAGGACTTTATTCCGTAGATATTAGACGTCAGGACTTTATTCTGTAGATATTAGACGTTAGGACTTTATTCTGTAGATATTAGACGTTAGGACTTTATTCTGTAGATATTAGACGTTAGGACTTTATTCTGTAGATATTAGACGTCAGGACTTTATTCCGTAGATATTAGACGTTAGGACTTTATTCCGTAGATATTAGACGTTAGGACTTTATTCTGTAGATATTAGACGTCAGGACTTTATTCCGTAGATATTAGACGTCAGGACTTTATTCCGTAGATATTAGACGTTAGGACTTTATTCTGTAGATATTAGACGTCAGGACTTTATTCTGTAGATATTAGACGTTAGGACTTTATTCTGTAGATATTAGACGTCAGGACTTTATTCTGTAGATATTAGACGTCAGGACTTTATTCTGTAGATATTAGGACGTCAGGACTTTATTCTGTAGAATTAGAGTTAGGACTTTATTCCGTAGATATTAGACGTCAGGACTTTATTCTGTAGATATTAGACGTCAGGACTTTATTCTGTAGATATTAGACGTTAGGACTTTATTCCGTAGATATTAGACGTTAGGACTTTATTCCGTAGATATTAGACGTTAGGACTTTATTCTGTAGATATTAGACGTCAGGACTTTATTCTGTAGATATTAGACGTCAGGACTTTATTCTGTAGATATTAGACGTCAGGACTTTATTCTGTAGATATTAGACGTCAGGACTTTATTCTGTAGATATTAGACGTCAGGACTTTATTCTGTAGATATTAGACGTCAGGACTTTATTCTGTAGATATTAGACGTCAGGACTTTATTCTGTAGATATTAGACGTTAGGACTTTATTCTGTAGATATTAGACGTTAGGACTTTATTCTGTAGATATTAGACGTTAGGACTTTATTCTGTAGATATCAGACGTTAGGACTTTATTCCGTAGATATTAGACGTCAGGACTTTATTCTGTAGATATTATACTTTAGGACTTTATTCCGTAGATATTAGACGTCAGGACTTTATTCCGTAGATATTATACTTTAGGACTTTATTCCGTAGATATTATACTTTAGGACTTTATTCCGTAGATATTAGACGTTAGGACTTTATTCTGTAGATATTAGACGTTAGGACTTTATTCTGTAGATATTAGACGTTAGGACTTTATTCTGTAGATATTAGACGTTAGGACTTTATTCCGTAGATATTATACTTTAGGACTTTATTCCGTAGATATTATACTTTAGGACTTTATTCCGTAGATATTATACTTTAGGACTTTATTCCGTAGATATTATACTTTAGGACTTTATTCCGTAGATATTAGACGTTAGGACTTTATTCTGTAAATATTAGACGTCAGGACTTTATTCTGTAGATATTATACGTCAGGACTTTATTCCGTAGATATTAGACGTTAGGACTTTATTCTGTAGATATTAGACGTTAGGACTTTATTCCGTAGATATTATACTTTAGGACTTTATTCCGTAGATATTATACTTTAGGACTTTATTCCGTAGATATTATACTTTAGGACTTTATTCCGTAGATATTATACTTTAGGACTTTATTCCGTAGATATTAGACGTTAGGACTTTATTCCGTAGATATTAGACGTCAGGACTTTATTCTGTAGATATTAGACGTCAGGACTTTATTCTGTAGATATTAGACGTTAGGACTTTATTCTGTAGATATTAGACGTCAGGACTTTATTCCGTAGATATTATACTTTAGGACTTTATTCCGTAGATATTATACTTTAGGACTTTATTCCGTAGATATTAGACGTTAGGACTTTATTCTGTAGATATTAGACGTCAGGACTTTATTCCGTAGATATTAGACGTTAGGACTTTATTCTGTAGATATTAGACGTCAGGACTTTATTCCGTAGATATTATACTTTAGGACTTTATTCCGTAGATATTATACTTTAGGACTTTATTCCGTAGATATTAGACGTTAGGACTTTATTCTGTAGATATTAGACGTCAGGACTTTATTCCGTAGATATTATACTTTAGGACTTTATTCCGTAGATATTATACTTTAGGACTTTATTCCGTAGATATTAGACGTTAGGACTTTATTCTGTAGATATTAGACGTCAGGACTTTATTCCGTAGATATTAGACGTTAGGACTTTATTCTGTAGATATTAGACGTCAGGACTTTATTCTGTAGATATTAGACGTCAGGACTTTATTCCGTAGATATTAGACGTTAGGACTTTATTCCGTAGATATTAGACGTCAGGACTTTATTCCGTAGATATTATACTTTAGGACTTTATTCCGTAGATATTATACTTTAGGACTTTATTCCGTAGATATTAGACGTTAGGACTTTATTCCGTAGATATTAGACGTTAGGACTTTATTCTGTAGATATTAGACGTCAGGACTTTATTCTGTAGATATTAGACGTTAGGACTTTATTCTGTAGATATCAGACGTTAGGACTTTATTCTGTAGATATTAGACGTCAGGACTTTATTCTGTAGATATTAGACGTTAGGACTTTATTCTGTAGATATTAGACGTCAGGACTTTATTCCGTAGATATTAGACGTTAGGACTTTATTCTGTAGATATTAGACGTCAGGACTTTATTCCGTAGATATTAGACGTTAGGACTTTATTCTGTAGATATTAGACGTCAGGACTTTATTCCGTAGATATTAGACGTTAGGACTTTATTCCGTAGATATTAGACGTTAGGACTTTATTCTGTAGATATTAGACGTTAGGACTTTATTCTGTAGATATTAGACGTCAGGACTTTATTCTGTAGATATTAGACGTTAGGACTTTATTCTGTAGATATTATACTTTAGGACTTTATTCCGTAGATATTATACTTTAGGACTTTATTCCGTAGATATTAGACGTCAGGACTTTATTCTGTAGATATTAGACGTCAGGACTTTATTCTGTAGATATTAGACGTTAGGACTTTATTCTGTAGATATTAGACGTTAGGACTTTATTCTGTAGATATTAGACGTTAGGACTTTATTCCGTAGATATTATACTTTAGGACTTTATTCCGTAGATATTAGACGTTAGGACTTTATTCCGTAGATATTAGACGTTAGGACTTTATTCCGTAGATATTAGACGTTAGGACTTTATTCCGTAGATATTAGACGTTAGGACTTTATTCTGTAGATATTAGACGTTAGGACTTTATTCTGTAGATATCAGACGTTAGGACTTTATTCTGTAGATATCAGACGTCAGGACTTTATTCCGTAGATATTAGACGTCAGGACTTTATTCCGTAGATATTAGACGTTAGGACTTTATTCTGTAGATATTAGACGTCAGGACTTTATTCTGTAGATATCAGACGTTAGGACTTTATTCTGTAGATATCAGACGTCAGGACTTTATTCCGTAGATATTAGACGTCAGGACTTTATTCCGTAGATATTAGACGTTAGGACTTTATTCTGTAGATATTAGACGTCAGGACTTTATTCTGTAGATATCAGACGTCAGGACTTTATTCCGTAGATATTAGACGTCAGGACTTTATTCCGTAGATATTAGACGTTAGGACTTTATTCTGTAGATATTAGACGTTAGGACTTTATTCTGTAGATATTAGACGTTAGGACTTTATTCTGTAGATATTAGACGTTAGGACTTTATTCCGTAGATATTAGACGTCAGGACTTTATTCTGTAGATATTAGACGTTAGGACTTTATTCTGTAGATATTAGACGTTAGGACTTTATTCCGTAGATATTAGACGTTAGGACTTTATTCTGTAGATATTAGACGTTAGGACTTTATTCTGTAGATATTAGACGTTAGGACTTTATTCTGTAGATATTAGACGTTAGGACTTTATTCTGTAGATATTAGACGTTAGGACTTTATTCCGTAGATATTAGACGTTAGGACTTTATTCTGTAGATATTAGACGTTAGGACTTTATTCCGTAGATATTAGACGTCAGGACTTTATTCTGTAGATATTAGACGTTAGGACTTTATTCCGTAGATATTAGACGTTAGGACTTTATTCTGTAGATATTAGACGTCAGGACTTTATTCCGTAGATATTAGACGTCAGGACTTTATTCCGTAGATATTAGACGTCAGGACTTTATTCTGTAGATATTAGACGTCAGGACTTTATTCTGTAGATATTAGACGTCAGGACTTTATTCTGTAGATATTATACACTAAGCCTGATTGTTGAGTAGTTTTCAGAGGACCTCTGGGATGAGTGCGAGTCGCAGGAACTCCCAGCTGGCTCTGCTGAGCACCTGCTTCAGTCTGCTGGCCTTCATCCTTACCTTCCTCTCCGGCGTGGGGAACCGCCGCCCAGGTGCTCCTGAGGTCGAGGCGGAGAAGAACGTCGTGCCGAACTCTGACGAACACGTGGATCCGGACTCAGGGTGGTGTTCTGCGGTGGCGGCTCTGCTTCACTTCTTCCTGCTGGCCACCTTCATGTGGAACAGCCTGTACGGAACCCAGCTGGTGCTTCTGGTCCGGAGGCTGCGCCAAGACCTGCCTCCTCACTGGACCTCGCTCAGCGTGGCCCTGGGCTGGGGTAAGGGGCTCCTACGAGTCATACCCTGGGTTACGAGTCTTACCCAGGGGCACGAGTCATACCCAGGGGCACGAGTCATACCCAGGGGCACGAGTCATACCCAGGGGTACGAGTCATACCCAGGGGTACGAGTCATACCCAGGGGTACGAGTCTTACCCAGGGGTACGAGTCATACCCAGGGGTACGAGTCATACCCAGGGGTACGAGTCATACCCAGGGGCACGAGTCATACCCAGGGGTACGAGTCATACCCAGGGGTACGAGTCTTACCCAGGGGTACGAGTCATACCCAGGGGTACGAGTCATACCCAGGGGCACGAGTCATACCCAGGGGCACGAGTCATACCCAGGGGTACGAGTCATACCCAGGGTTACGAGTCTTACCCAGGGGTACGAGTCTTACCCAGGGGTACGAGTCATACCCAGGGGTACGAGTCTTACCCAGGGGTACGAGTCATACCCAGGGGTACGAGTCTTACCCAGGGGTACGAGTCATACCCAGGGTTACGAGTCTTACCCAGGGGTACGAGTCATACCCAGGGGTACGAGTCATACCCAGGGGTACGAGTCATACCCAGGGGTACGAGTCTTACCCAGGGGTACGAGTCATACCCAGGGGTACGAGTCTTACCCAGGGGCACGAGTCATACCCAGGGGTACGAGTCATACCCAGGGTTACGAGTCTTACCCAGGGGCACGAGTCATACCCAGGGGCACGAGTCATACCCAGGGTTACGAGTCATACCCAGGGGTACGAGTCATACCCAGGGGTACGAGTCATACCCAGGGGCACGAGTCATACCCAGGGGCACGAGTCATACCCAGGGGCACGAGTCATACCCAGGGGTACGAGTCATACCCAGGGGTACGAGTCATACCCAGGGGTACGAGTCTTACCCAGGGGTACGAGTCATACCCAGGGGTACGAGTCATACCCAGGGTTACGAGTCTTACCCAGGGTACGAGTCTTACCCAGGGGTACGAGTCATACCCAGGGGTACGAGTCATACCCAGGGGTACGAGTCATACCCAGGGGTACGAGTCTTACCCAGGGGTACGAGTCATACCCAGGGGTACGAGTCATACCCAGGGGTACGAGTCTTACCCAGGGGCACGAGTCATACCCAGGGGTACGAGTCATACCCAGGGTTACGAGTCTTACCCAGGGGCACGAGTCATACCCAGGGGCACGAGTCATACCCAGGGTTACGAGTCATACCCAGGGGCACGAGTCATACCCAGGGGTACGAGTCATACCCAGGGGCACGAGTCATACCCAGGGGCACGAGTCATACCCAGGGGCACGAGTCTTACCCAGGGGTACGAGTCATACCCAGGGGTACGAGTCATACCCAGGGGTACGAGTCATACCCAGGGGTACGAGTCATACCCAGGGGTACGAGTCATACCCAGGGGTACGAGTCATACCCTGGGTTACGAGTCTTACCCAGGGGTACGAGTCATACCCAGGGGCACGAGTCATACCCAGGGGTACGAGTCATACCCAGGGGTACGAGTCTTACCCAGGGGTACGAGTCATACCCAGGGGTACGAGTCATACCCAGGGTTACGAGTCTTACCCAGGGGCACAAGTCATACCCAGGGTACGACTTCAGGGTCTGTTTGCTGAACAAATGCCACAGAAACCCGCTGAATGATAACATATTTATATATTTTCTCCCTCCAGGAGTCCCGGCCGTCATCATGGCGGTCACTTTGGGCGCCACCTACAGGCCAGATAACCCTCTGGGATACAGACAGGAGGAATTGTGAGTCCATCACTAATAATTATAATTTACTGATATATTCTGATTATATAACTAACTGCAGTTCGTCCTGTAGCTGCTGGCTGGCGGCTGTGGATAAGAAGAAGCAGTTTGACTTCAGGAAGCCCATGTTCTGGGCCTTCCTGCTTCCTGTGGCTCTGATTTTAATCTACAACGTGGCTCTGCTGGTGCTGGCCTCTCTTACCATCTGCCGGACCGACGCCGCGCTCAAAAGGTCCGAAGACAGGAACCTTTTCAATTACTAGAAACTACCTGATGATAATCATTGACATTAAATATGTTTCAGCTCGAGACCTCGGACTCTGTGGAAGAAGTTCCTGATCAGTTTCTCCCTGGCGGTGCTGCTCGGGGTCTCCTGGTTTCTGGGGTATTTGGTGCTGGTCACCTCAGGAAACACTAACCTGGTGTTCAGCGTGCTGTTCTGCGTCTGCACCACCACACAGGTACTGAGGCGCTGTCAGTACATGTACTCCAAGTGACCACAGTGATACAGATGTAAACGTAGCATGTTGAGAAAAAGTCTAAACGTTTTAAGGGCTGTTTTCAGACAGATTTGTGGACAGTTCCCACAAATAACATTTGGTACAGATTTTACCAAATGTATTGCAGCCCAAGTATTTTCTGTTGTGTTTTCGGACTCTTTTCAGACTTTCCTCGGACAGTTCCCACCCTTCTTTGTGACAGCAATGGGACATTTCCTCAGGCTAGTTTGTGTCTCTCCGAACAGTATTCCTCGGCGTTACCTGCGTCTTCTTCTTGTTGTGTTTCAGGGGTTTCAGATCTTCGTCCTCTTCACCGCCCGGACGCCGTCCTTCAGAGCCGTCGTGTCTCGCTCTCTTCAGTTCGTCTCGTCCGTCAACATCCAGCTCAAAGAGACCAAGTACCGGCTGCAGAGGACCTGGGGGACGTCCAACATGGAGTCCTACCGGGACGTCAGCCTGTGACCTGAAACACAAAGGCTGATGAGACCCGACGTGAGGACGGAGTATAACCCTGACGAACAAAACAAATATAAACTCCTGTTTTCTCTTCAGTGTACGGATAACTTCTGATGATATTTATATATATAAACTCACAGTGATTTCTGTTTTTATTGTTCTGTAGTTATTTAAAATGCTTGTATATTTTATGAAGTGTCTTTACTTAAATTATAAGAACAATTTAAATTGGATTTTAAGTGTTTTATGGCTCTTTTATCTCTGTGTCTGAAATGTATATAAAAACATAATATTCCCCATAAAATAAAAACATATTTCTCAAAATATTTCGTTTTTATTTTATTGTGAGTTTTAAAAATGTTTGATGTTTTTCTGGAGATATTTCTACTTTTTAATTTAAACAAAGAGTGAATTTAAAGTAATATGGATTTACCTTTTGATGTTGCCACCGGAGGAACCACATTTCCCAGAATGCATTGAGCCCTTTAGGAAAACAGAACATTTAATTAGAAATGAGGTGAAAATCAAAAGTATAATAAAATAAACTTTAAATAACAAAAACAATAAATAAAGGTTTGAATTGTAATGGTATTTTAAATGAATCGTCAACAGTGGTTTTGGGCTGTATCAAATGGCCATCTAATGGTTTCAAAAATATAGATTTAAAATATGGATTATTCATTCTGGTGATTTGCGGTAAAAACTGTTCTTTGTATGTTCATTAAAGGTGTTATTTGATCTTTTTAATAATCAGTCTTAAACCCATGTTGATGGTCTAACAGTGGAGAGCGTTGGCCACCAGAGGGCTCCCTAACACAGCAGAGACACTACCACACACACCTGGAGACCTCACACACACCTGAAGACACACACCTGAAGACCTCACACACACCTGGAGACCTCACACACACCTGAAGACACACACCTGAAGACCTCACACACACCTGGAGACCTCACACACACCTGAAGACACACACCTGAAGACCTCACACACACCTGGAGACCTCACACACACCTGAAGACACACACCTGAAGACCTCACACACACCTGAAGACTTTACACACACCTGGAGACCTCACACACACCTGAAGACCTCACACACACCTGGAGACCTCACACACACCTGAAGACCTCAAAGACACTTGAAGACTTTACACACACTCGTCTAATTATAACTTAAAATATATAATATATTTATTTTAAAGAAATGTCCTCAGAGGTCCTGAGACAGAATCAGGACGTCTGAAAGCTGCTCAGTTTATATTTAATAACGTTTAATATCAGCTGTAGATTAACTGGAGGTCGTCACACAGTTCCCCAGGTGGAGGAACATCGAACCGGAGAATGACCCTGATGTGTGGGGGGGGGGCTGATGTGTTGGGGTGGGCTGATGTGTTGGGGGGGGGGCTGAGAACATGAAGACACCTCAGACCTGCTGCTCTCTCTCAGCAGCAGAGCAGCGAGCACCGCCATCATTACAGGAGCAGAAGAAGACTCTATGAGAGGGGGGGGGGCAGGACCTTATATAGACCCTGGGGGGTGGGGGGCTCCTCCCCTCCTATAGGACCTGGTTCCACTCACTGAGGAAATATAAAAAGTTTTACCAGAGAAGAAGAAGAACAAGAAGGGCTCTGGCCCTCTAAAGTGAGACATGGTGTCCCACAGGGATCAGTACTGGGGCCACTGGGGTTCTGTAATGATGTCACTACTAAGTACTAACTACTACTTTTAATATACTATAATTGTATTACTAATACTAGTAATAAACGAAGCGTGGTGTTGCTGTAAAAAATATTTATTTTTATTTATAAAATTCACATTATATTTATTTATTCTAACAGAATATAAAACACAAAACTTCACAAACATATTTTAGATCTAAAAAAACAGGAAATCTAAATGTTAAAAACAGAAAAACTAAACAAACAACCAACCAAGAAAAGTTCAAGTAATACAAACTAATAAACAGTAAGAAGGGTTTTTATTGGCCGTGATTTAAAGACTCCAATATTTACTTTATTCTGTTAAACGATCTGCATTTTGATATCACTTTTTTAAACAAGATAACAACCAAATAATATTGGTAGTAAAAAATAAAAAGCTTAGCAAAATACTTCGTAACTTCATATTTTGCACTAAAATAAAGTTGTCAGAAATAAAAAAATTACTTTTGAAAAAGTTTTGGTTTCTTTGGATTCGTACACAGGCTAGGCGTAGCTACATGCTAACAGTACACAGATGAATGTAAACATGTGAAGCAGCTGATTGGCTGGGATGAGTTTTAATGAGACAAACCAACATCACAACTCCGAGAGCCCGAGCTAACGCTAACGGATGCTAACACTAACGGACGCTAACGGAGCATGAAGGCACTGACGGGAGCCACGCCGAGCAAAACAAGCTAACGTGAAGCTAACGAGATGCTAACGTGTTTCTCCGATGATCAGCGACATGAAAACAGGAAGTAGAAACAACAGTGAAGTTTCAGAATAAAGTCTTTAGGAAAAGTACAGAAAGCAGTTTGTAAATAAGAGTAAGAGCAGCAGTGACTGAAGGTTATAAACACAGAGTGAACAGCAAGTGACAGGCGACCAATCAGAGGTCAGAATTCAGGTCCACAAAGAGTCCTTTCAAAATAAAATCCCAAAGTGTTTCAGTGTCACCTCCAGGGGAGCAGCGAGATCCTCCAATCAGAACGAAGGCAGCTTTCTGCGGAAAAACAACACGGGGTTAATGAAGGGGGGATGCAAAGCATCATGGGAAATATATACAGGTCATTTATGAAAAAATTCCAGTAACTTTCGAAGTAAGAGCGTTTGTAATTACATATGTGTCCCTTTCAAAGTAAGAGCGTGTAGATATGTCCTTTCAAAGTAAGAGCATGGAGATATGTCCTTTCAGAATAAGAGCATGTAGATATGTCCTTTCAGAATAAGAGCATGTAGATATGTCCTTTCAAAGTAAGAGCATGTAGATATGTCCTTTCAAAGTAAGAGCGTGTAGATATGTCCTTTCAGAATAAGAGCGTGTAGATATGTCCTTTCAGAATAAGAGCATGTAGATATGTCCTTTCAGAATAAGAGCGTGTACCTGGAGGTCTATGTGGAGGAGCTTCCTCTCTTCTCCAGGAATCTGTTTGACCACAAAACACAGACTCAGTTTCTGACAGAAAGCACAGCGACCGCACAAATAACACTACAAACACACACACTGGAAGCAGCTGTTTGTGTGTGTGTGTGTGTGTGTGTGTGTGTGTGTGTGTGTGTGTGTGTGTGTGTGTGTGTGTGTGTGTGTGTGTGTGTGTGTGTGTGTGTGTGTGTGTACTTGTACATGTTAAGAGAGGAGGTGATTCTGTGTAAATCCTGAGGTCAGTTTCTGATGAAAAACTGAATGAATATAAATCGTTTTTATAAAATATATCTAAAGACAGAGTTATTAAATCTTTATAAATGTATTTTAAAAGATCTCTTTTTAAATAGAAAACACTCACACTTGAGTTTGTCTCATGAAGTCGGCAAAGTGCTGATCTCTGGAGCAGAGTTCGACGATCCTCAGACGCTCCTGGATCTCCTGCAGGGTCACAGGTCAGAGGTTAGGACTACAAACATGGCTGCAGCGTCCTGTAGTCTATTAACAATGACTCAGCACAGAGGTCAGAGGTTAGGACTACAAACATGGCTGCAGTGTCCTGTAGTCTATTAACAATGGCTGCAGTCGAATACTCCAAAAATCAGCTCCTAAATTCTAACCCTATCGTCTATCCCTTGACCTCTGAGTGAAAGGTCACGGGGTGAAGGGATAGTGGATAGGATAATTCAAAAGGACTTAGGAGAAGAGACTGCGGTGCTTTAGAGAATCGACTGCACTTTCACTATCCGACGTGTTTATGATGCGCCAGCGGACGTCATGAATGTGCGTCTGCTGCTGTGGGGAAACTATGGAAACTACAGTTTTCTATCCAGCGGACTACAACATGGATGTTTAATAAGAACGAGGGACTACTGTAAACTCATCTAGAGACTCTGCACCGTGCTCTGATGCTGTTATGCTTTATGAACGGGGACAACAGAGAAACATATTCTTCATGACCAAAGTTGGAATTGAAATAAAAAAGGAAAGTGAAACTTATGCTCGTCACCCTCTCCCTCCGGTCCACATTAATACAAATGATCCCAATACGTATGATTGTATGAAAAGATCTTAAAATCAATACAAATGTATTTATTATAAACGTTAGTCCTTAACATCTATCACTGTGTATATCACCATTCAAACATCTTTTAAAAGTTGAACAAACCCCACACAGCTCAGTAAAGACTGTGAAATGTTGACTTTATTTGATCATTTCAGTAAAAACTAACGTTCATATTTCTCTTTTTGATTATAATACTGATGAACGTTCAAAACAAAGCACTTTGGCAACTTACCACATACGTTTTAAAATGCTTAATAAGCACCGTAACTTTCATGATATCATTTCTCCGTCATAATCGGTTGTTTCTGTGAACGGCCGACTGTTGTGTGACGGCAAATGCTGCGGCCGCAAGGCATTGTGGGTCAGCATGTTCTCCTCTCCTTTAGGTGAGGGAGGTCCAGTGGTTCCTAAGCTAAAGGAGGTTATAAAGGAAGTTTGAAACCTCCTTTCCTTTCATCTAGAGAACCAGCTCTTATCATGGCTGCCACTGAGGGACCTCCGGGTCATTTCACTCCGTTAGGAAGGTTCCTGAGCTAAATGGACTATTGGACTTCAGCCAATGACTCAACACAGAGGTCGGAGGGTTAGGACTACAAACATGGCCGCAGTTTCCTGTAGTTTACTAATGTATGTGGAACCACTTTTTCAGCTCTGAACCCCTGACAGGACTCAGCATTATGAGTCGTACCTCTTTGCTCAGAGAGCTGTTCTCCTGGTCTCTGTTCTCCTGGTTCTGGTCTCTGGACCCGGTTCTGAGTGACGCCTCGTCATCGTAGCGCCGGTAGAACTGAGCCGTCACCGGGCCGCTGTCCGGCACCGCGGTTAGCTTAGCACGACCCTCCAGAGACGGGAAGCCCAACCTGCAGGAAACAACGTTACTCAGCAGACTGTCAACAGGAAGTGATGCCCTCAGACTGTCAACAGGAAGTGATGCCCTCAGACTGTAAACAGGAAGTGGTGTCA